ACATTTAATACGGAACTAGACTGGTAATCAGTTTTGAAAAAGCTTCACAAGCTGCCTGTATCAAACAATATTTTCCCATTCCAATGGAAATCACTATGGAAATGGCCTATGTAACTTTATGTGGCAAATATTTTGAAATCCAAGAGCATCTATTCTATTGTTGTTATAAAATTCAAAACATCATCGAAGAAATAAAAAGATTGCTATCTCTGTGCATAGAGCATGAATATTGGATATAATCAAGATCTTGATAAAACGCAAATAAATATTGGAATTTTTATAGTGTTTTCGGGAAAATTTAGTATTTGGAAAGGTCGGAACGACTTAAATTCAACTGAAAACAGTATTTAATGAAACATCCATCCTCTGTATTTTTAAGAAAGATATGAATGATTTTATCAAAATGATCGCTTAATCAAACAAACAAAAAACTTATTTGGAATAAATCAGAATGATTGCTTAATCAAACAAAAAAAAACTTATTTGGAATAGGCAACCTTGACCGTTTATCTCAAATATTGTAATTACTTTTAATAGTCGAATTTGCTTATTCTTTGCTCATTTTGTAGATATATAAACATTTTTATGACATAACTTGTGCCTCTGTATTATAGTTAAAGTTATCATTTGTATATAAAAGGCACACTTTGAACTAGTGTATTGTTTACCACTTTATTTACTAACAATCACCATTATTTATATAGTCAATTTCATAGTTTATATTTTATACTTATTTATATTACTGTATACATACTATACAATTGTATTACTTTTTTGTAATAGTATTTTACTCCCCACAGATTGTGTTTCTTTATAAGTACACATACAGATTCAGATTCAATATTTTATTAAAGTTTCATCGCTTGTAATACATATAATACAATCATCATAATATATACATTGTATAAAACAGTACTTTTATAAGGATTTGTACTTTAAACAGTGCAAATGGTAGGAAAGAAAAAAATAAACGGTTATCTATATATTTTTATAATTATATTTAAAAAGGATAAATTTATAGGAAAATGCAAGAAGATGAAGATTATATTTCTAAGTAAACCAAGTAATTATTTGCACACGGTATAGTATAATTTCTTTTGATGAACTCATTAAAGACTTTCATTTGCATAGTTTTGAAATACAAAAAGCATTTTATAAAATAATGGTTTCTTTAAAAATTAAGTATACAGCTTAAATGAGCTTAAAGATAAGATTTACCAATGGCTTAACATTGTTGAAATTGTGAATCAAATTTCTTAAGCAGTTCTTGCCTAAAAAGAATGTTTTCAGCTAAATTTTGAGATTCTACAATTAGCTTTTACTATAATAGACAGGAAGATAATGTGAACATCAAGAAAAAATCTACATGAAAAAAAGTAAATTTTTCAGAACACACGATGTATTTGTTTTTAAGAAGGAGTTTTTTTTACATTATCCACAGAATACAAAAGTAGCAATTGAGCAGATTCAGAGTATTTCTATTAGCTTGGGAAGACCATTCTATATTTTGTGATGGGGATTAGGAATGCTGAAAGAAATGAATGTGATGTCTAGAACTGAAGATCAATTATTTTGCCCAAGACATTCTGAAAATGAATTTTCTGTACATTCAGATGCACATATGATTTGAAAAAAGAAATAGATGTGTACACAATGGAAAATATTTAAAAAAAAAAATGAACTATCAATCCAGCCTTATAACGGGTGAAAATTATTATTCTGTCCACGCAAAACCTCTTGCTCAAAAGCCCAACCCTAAACAAAGAAATAAATTGGTAGTTCTCTAAGTAATTTTGTTTATTTCGCCTTGTTTTTGTAGATTCAAAGGATCTGTCTTAAAAATAACATTTGTTCTCTTGTGGATAGTTGTCTCATTGGCAATCATACCACATCTTATTTTTGTATTTGGATTTGTAATTAGACCCTTATTTTTTTCAACCTTGAAATTGAATTTTCCATTTAATCAACTATCCTGAATTATGCATATGCACAATCAAGTCAGTGTAATTCAACAATTCAGTACATACAATGTGAGTTTTTCAAAAGGATTACTAATTTTATAAAGAAAACAGTTTCCTCACATATCACTTGCTTCTTTCTATTATCTTTTCTTACAAAATCCAAATAATATATGCAACGTCAAAGGTCAAGGTCATCGATAACCTTTGACCTTGGGTTAAATTGAATGTCACTTACTGTTCAATAGTTTCACATCATAGTCATTCAATAGTAATTATGTTTCTCGGGTAATCTTAATAACATGGTTGAATTTCTGAAGAAAAAAAACAAAAATGACACATTTTGGTTACCATAGCAATCATCTTAGCACCCTGAATCCCAAACATTTTGTTGTAAATTATTGACTAGAAACGTTGATACTTTATATTTATTACCACAACTTAAATGGAGGTGGATGCAAAACTGTATATTTTATTCATGATAAATGTGTATAATTTGCCTTCACAAATACAATGAAAAATGACCTCTACTCCTTTCGGTTGTGACAATATTCAACCAAAATATTATTTATATATATGACATTGCTGTTATGTTTGGTTAGTATCATGTTTCTGAAAAATATTAACAAATATCATTAAACAAAATCTGTTTTTGCTTCAGAATGCCTGAAAAGTAGATGTTATTTCAATGCTAAATTCCTCAAAATGTACGGGAAAACTTATTGACTTGGTTCCCATGCCAAATGTGGCCTAGCAACACTTTGGGAGGCATTTTCCTACCTATTCACCTAATTTTAAGGTCAGGCTAGGTTTCAGGAAAATTGGTGACTATGCATGCTGACTCCCTTTATGATAAAGTTATAAAGTTAAGTGCATTTTGTGTTTCAGAAAGATAAAATCTTTTTTGGATTTTGATGGGCATTTTTTTTCCTTTCTGCAGAAGGTGTAAACATTAACTTAGTTGTGATACAACTTTGAGATGCTCCTTCTCAGGTAAAAACTGTATTGTTTTGTATTGATTGTCCTTGATTGACATGGACAATAGGTATCTTCACAACTATAGGTGAGTTAAAGGGTTTAACTGAGTGGACAGTATCAAAGTAATTCAGGTGTTTGTTTATTTTTACACCTTCTGCAGAAAGGAAAAAAATGGAAGATAATGAAAATAAGAAGAATTTGACCTCACCTGACTTGACATTTGTTTTTTCCATCTCTTTGGGGGTACCTTTATCTGGTGGTGATGCTACACTGTGATTACAGAAAAATAAAAGATGGTTTGTCTGAGACAACAATTATCTCCCTTTGATTTTCCTTGCCTACAAGCATAAAGTGACTAAGATGAAATTAACTTAAAAAAAAATATTCATGAACTTTCAGGTCAAGTATTGTCAGTTGAAAAAGGTAAAAATGAGTCTGAATATGTACTTAAATTCAGACCCCCTTCACATGAAATTTGTCAATATTTTGAGTTAGAGCTGATAATTTTTATGCAATGTTTAATTTTGCTTTCCACTGATAAAACACAGATCAAGTTGAATTTGGGTAGTGTCACTTTAACCATTATGGGTTATGCCCCTTTATAAATCGAAAGATTGAAAATTTTTTAGTTTCCATTCTGTAACTTAAGTTTGCCCCAACCAAACATTATGAAACCTATACACAATATTCATTACCACAAAACTAAGATCAAGTACAAATTTTTTGTTTCCGTTTTCTAACTTTAGTTTGCCTCAACCAAATGTTATGAAACTTATACACAATGCTTATTACTACATAATACAGATTAAGTACGAAATTTGGTGGCGACACTTTTAACATTCTTGAGTTATGTCCCTTTATAAACATAAAAATAGCTGAATTTTTCGTTTCCGTTTTCTAACTTTAGTTTGTCTCAACCAAATGTTATAAAACTTATACACAACCGTTCTAGAGTTATTCGTGTTTACAAATAGAAAAATTACTGAATTTTTAGTTTCTGTTCTCTACTTAAGTAAGCCTCAACCAAATGTTATGAGACTTACACACAATGTTTATTACCACAAAACTCAGATCAAGTTCAAATTTGGGTAGCGTCACTTTTTTGAGAAAAGGAAGGTCTTATTCTGTTAAAACTATGTAATTGTATAAAGAATTGCACTACATTTTTGTACCTTATGAATTGGGTTGTCAGACCATTTTGATATATAATGGGAGAAAACCCTTAATTTTTATCAAAATTAGATTATGATTTATCTCCCATTTGTTACTCTTTACAGGCTTTTAACTTTATAAATGTTATTCATATTTTGTCTTTTTCATTTTGATTATGATAAATTATTATGCTTTGTTATCAATGGTTGAATATTCCAATCCCTGCAAGTGTTCTTGATCTGAATATAATACAAATACTGTACTGTAAATCTGGGTTATTTTTAATATATGGGCATTATTCTGTGATTTTCACCAAAATGATAATGGAATTCAACGTTAAATTAGTTTAATTGAACATGTTGAATATCTATAATAAATATTGTTTGGACACCTAAAATAGAACAATGTACAAAATATTGTGAGACAAACACCATTATGATAATAGTTAGAAGGAATTGATTTTAAAAAATTAGAGTATATTAATTACAATAATTTGACATTCAAAGTGATGTTTCAGTTACTGTAACATTTTATCAATTCAAGTGTTGTTACTACAATCTATTTATTCTTGTATTCAAGTACATGTAAAAGGGATAATAAAACTTACAGCATTAAATGTGTTGACCGTCTGCAACTTTCCTAAAACAATGACATTATTTCAATGAAACTTGAATAGAATCTTTGCTTTCATTCTCCAGTCCTAATATAATTTTAGCACAAATTTTTGAAGTTGTATATAGCAAAAAATAACTTTCATATAATGATCAAAATAGTAGAGCATGGTTTAAATTTGTGAACTCTGCCCACAGTTTTATTTAGACATTTTTAAAACCAATTGTCTTTGGAAAGTATCAAATTTTGCTGGTTTAAGTTGTATTCAAAATAATGGATTATGGCTTTTTATTTTTTTAGGGAACAGATTCCAGATTTATAAAGAGTAGAGAAACAGATTGTAAGATGGATATGTTGGTAGAGTTTCCTAATATGGTCCTACAGAATACAGAAGGAACTAGATATGATGGTTATTTAACTGTAATGGTAAAGTAAATTCATAATATGTGAGCCTGTTAGGTACAGTGGATTCATTTATTTTTGTGGGTATCAATTTTCGTGGATTAAGGAAAACTTGCATTTTCGTGGGTATTTGATTATCGTGGTTTTGCCAATCACTGCATACAAAGCCTATAGAAAATTTGTAATTCGTTGAACATTTGAATTCGTGTTTCACTTGTACCCATGAAATCCACGAAAATTGGTATCCAACAAATAATAATGAATCCACAGTATTGGATAGAAATAGAAATATAAGCATCAAAGACTGAAATTATTTTAACTTTGTTTCTTTTCTTAATTTTGTTACAAAAATATTGTGACTGAGGTTGCTGAAACCTACTTTTTTTCTGGTACACATTTTGGAGTAAGTGACTTTCATTTATACATTTTCAGTTATTGTGTCAATTGATTTGAGAATTCTATTATAATTTAATTATTATTAATCCAGTGGTTATATTCTTTGATTACATCCAATGGATCTTATTAAAAATTCAAATTTTTATGCCCCACCATAATAGTAGGGGGGCATTATGTTTTTCGGTCTGTGCGGCCGTTCATTCATCCGTCTGTCTGTCCTGCTTCAGGTTAAAGTTTTTGTCAAGGTAGTTTTTGATGTAGTTGAAGACCAATCAACTTGAAACTTAGTACACATGTTCCCTATGATATGATCTTTCTAATTTTAATGCCAAATTAGAGTTTTGACCCAAATTCACGGTCCACTGAACATAGAAAATGATAGTGTGAGTGGGGCATCTGTGTACTATGTCACATTCTTGTTTTGTAATGTTTTATTTTTGTTGACAGAATTTGGTAATCATGGTAATGGGATTAAAAATTTTACCTGTCTGTTTTTCATTTAAGGAATGACTGTAATATCTTTTATGTCTATGAAGAAATAATATCAAAAATGTGGTGGACACTGAATAATCCGCGTAGTGGGTTATTTAAAAGTGTGCAGTATGTTTTTAGGTTATTTCAAATAGACAGAAAAAATATTACAGTCCTTCCTTATAATTTAATTCTAAATTCCATTTTTAAGGAGTAAATCATGAAAAAAGCGTTGATGAGGTCACGGTCACATGACACAATTATGTCTATGAGCTGATAGACTAAAAACTTTCAGCCAATCAGAAGACGTGTTACACCCAAAATTAAATTATTAAAAGATATATTCCTAAACAGTTTAACTGTTTTTTCATTATACACAAGAATTATTATACCCACGCTTTAAAAAAGGGTGGTATACTGTTCTACCTCTGTCTGTCCTTCTGTCAGTCCATCCATCAGTCCATCCGTCAGTCCGTCCGTCCCATGAATATTTTCGTAGCATTTTTCTCAGGAACTACTTGACAAGGATTTCTGAAATTTGGTTTCAGGGTTTATATAAGTAAGTTACACCATGTGATGTGTTATCAGATTCATCACTCAACAACTTCCTGTTATCCGAACACGTGTATTATTTTACACATGATAGCCAAGTTGAAAATTTTCGTCACATTTTTCTCAGGAACTACTTGACAAGCATTTCTGAAATTTGGTTTCAGGGTTTATATACCGGTAAGTAAGTTACACCGTGTGATGTGTTTTCAGATTCATCACTCAACAACTTCCTGTTTACCGAACACTTGTATTATTTTACACATGATAGCCAAATTGAAAATTTTCGTCACATTTTTCTCAGGAACTACTTGACAAGGATTTCTGAAATTTGGTTTCAGGGTTTATATAAGTCAGCTATACCGTGTGATGTGTTTTCAGATTCATCACTCAACAACTTCTTGTTTACCGAAATATTTCGGCGGGGGTATCATAAGTGAGCACTAGCTCACAGTTTTGCTTGTTTTTTATTACCAATACATTTTATTTTTCAGAATGAAGACTTCCGTTTGTGCCTAGAATATCCATCTGACATCACCAAAGCTAATTTATCATGTGATTGGAAACTAAAATGCTTATTGGATGGTTGTCTTGACGTGCTAAAACAGGTGAGGGTAATAAAATAAAAGCTTTGCATTTAACTAATCACATAAGAATTTTATAATAATTGATGGAATTTCAGTAAAAAGTTACTCACAGACAAATATATATGATACATTTAAAACAATTAGAACCGAAAAAATAGGGTGTGTTGTATTTTCAGTTTCTTTGGCATTGTTAGAAATTTGAAAGTTTGTTAGTCCAGGAACCACTTTTGATAAGTCAGTGATATATTTGTTATGCAGTTGTAATAGCACTAGTACAATTTATTTCCATCAATATTATATAGTCATGCTCATCAGTCATAAATTTTTTGAAACAGACTCATTGTAATTATGTCAGTTAAACAGGAATCGTGTATGGTTAGTCACTGATAATTGGCATGCAGTTTGTCATAATTACTACTGATCATTTCTGTGGGAATCATTTAGCTTCACTTCCCCAGTCATGGTCATCTGACTTCAAAATATATGCATTGCTTTATGATTAGGTAAGAAATAGGTTTCTTTTATGGTATTAAAAAAGTCATTGATATAAGGGAGGCATTTTCATCAATACATTTTATTTCTATCGAGATTATGCAGCTCTGATTGCTCAATCATGGTTCATTGGCTTTTATTTATTTTGCCAGTTAAGGTTCTAATTAGGACAGATATTAGGACTACTTACAGTAATTCAGTGATATTTAGAATGCAGTTGCATTTACATTTGCACATCAATGAAGAATATTTAATTTGACTTTCATAATTCATGCACATTGACCTTAAAAATTTAACCTTTTTCACATGTTAAAACTTTATGATCAGAACCCTTAAATTCCATAGTATTTGGTATATAATTATATGTATATGGCATCAGTGCACCTGAATTACATGGAGATTTTTAAGCCCTGCTTTTTAAGTAATGGTCAATTGAATCTGAAATTTTGCACACTTGAAATGTTAAAATATGTTATTACGGTAGTTGTGAGCGGTTGTGTTGATACATTTTATTTCCTTGGAGATTGTTTTGCAATATGGTCCAATGACTTTTAAATGTTTGCTTGCTTATCATCGTTAGTTTTTGAAGTTTTGAGAATTGTTTGATAGTCCTATGATATAAGGCCAGTTTTAGGAATACTTGACATGTATTATTACAATGGGTACACACCTGTATTACCTACTGTATGATATAATCTGCCAGATGTTTTGTTTTAATGTTAATTGTTTGCTGCACGCTGGTGAGACATCTTTAATGTTCACAGTTTGTAATTTAGAAGCAGTATAAAAACAAAAAAGAGATTAAAGAACAAATTTCTAATGGTACCAAAACCTTGTGTTTGACATTTAAAAATTATTTTCAGAGACTTTTACAGAGTAAATCTTTGCCAAGTTTTCTGCAAGAAATGACAAGAATTATTGTAAGTTGTTTAAATCTCTTGACTGTAGAATTATCTAAATCTTTGACATTTGCTTAAATATTCAAAACTTGTCATTCAAGAGTTTGTCTTTTAAAACATGAATTCTCCCTTAGATTTCTAAAACATTTTTGTACATTGAATGGAATTAAATGATGATCTTTCTATTTGAGATTGGTTATAGTGGAAACAGTCTGAATTATGAAAGTGAAAAATGTCAATTCATTGGATTTTTATGTGCTTTAAATATTAATTTTATTAATTTTGTTGATTTCAATAGCTGCATTTTATGGTTATTAAAAAATTAATACATTGAAACTACTTTTTTATACGCCCGTTTACAGGACGTATTATGGTATACAGTTGTCCATCCATCGTCAACATGTTGGACAATAACTCAAAAACGCATTATCCAATTTGCATGAAACTTTGGTGAATTGTTTATATCATTAAAAAAGGGGGATTTTTCAGTTTTCGGACAATAACTTAAAAATGCTTTGAGCAGTTTTCGTGAAACTTTGGTGAATTGTTTATATCTATTGAACTGAGCTCCCTTTCGATTTTTATAAATTTTAGATTTTACGTTTCCGATTTATGGGGTTTTATTCATTATTAAAGGGGGATTTTCCAGTTTTCAGACAATAATTCAAAAATGTTTTTAGCAGTTTTCGTGAAACTTTGGTGAATTGTTTATATCTATTGATGTAAGCTACCTTTTGATTTTCTTAAATTTTATAGATTTTACGTTTTCGAGTTATGGGATTTTATTCATAAAAAAGGGGGGATTTTCAATAACTCAAAAGTGGCTTGAATAGTTTTCATGAAACTTTGCTGACTGTTTTATATCAGTTAGAAATAACCTTTCTTCAGTTTTTTGTCTCGCCTGCGACAAAAGTCGTAGAATGCGAAACATAGGTGTTACTATCCTGCGGCGGCGTAAACTTATTGAATAAAGCTTTTATATTTAAGAAGGTAGAAGACCACTTCATATCTTGTGTGCAGATACCTTATGTTACAAAGTTTCCGTCAATCATATGTCCATTGTCCTTGATCTCATTTTCATGGTTCAGCGACTGCTTGAAAAAAAATGTGAGTTTTTATGCCCCACCTAGGGGCATTATGTTTTTCGGTCTGTGCGTTCTTTTGTTCGTCCGTTCGTTTGTTCGTCCGTCTGTCCCGCTTCAGGTTAAAGTTGTTGGTCAAGGTAGTTTTTGTGTTTTTGTCTGTTTTTCAAGTACTATAAGCAATATGTCAGCTATATTTGGTATATGGAAACTTTGTAAGGTGTACATGTCTGTCTGGCAGGTATCATCTGACTTTGACCTCATTTTCATGGTTCAATGGGCAATGTTAAGTTTTTGTGTTTTTGTCTGTTTTTCAAGTACTATAAGCATTAGGTCAACTATATTTGGTGTATGGAAAGATTATAAGGTGTAAATGTATGTCTGGCAGGTATCATCTGATCTTTACCTCATTTTCATGGTTCCTTGGTGAATGTTAAGTTTTTGTGTTTTGGTCTGTTTTTTCAAGGACTATAAGCAATAAGTCAACTATAATTGGTGTATAGAATGATTGTGAGGTGTACATGTCTATCTGGCAGGTATCATCTGACCTTGACCTCATTTTTATGATTCAATGGTCAGTGTTAAGTTTTTGTGTTTTTGTCTGTTTTTCAAGGACTATAAGCAATAAGTCAACTATAATTGGTGTATAGAATGATTGTGAGGTGTACATGTCTATCTGGCAAGTATCATCTGACCTTGACCTCATTTTTATGGTTCAATGGTCAGTGTTAAGTTTTTGTGTTTTGGTCGGTTTTTTTTTAAGTATTATATAAACAATAGATCAACTATATTTGGTGTATGGAAAGATAGTAAGGTGAGAATGTCTTTCTGGCAGGTATAATCTAACCTTGACCCCATTTTCATGGTTCATTGGTCAATGTTAAGTTATGTGTTTTGGTCTGTTTTTCAAGGACTATAAGCAATAGGTCAACTATAATCGTGTATGGAATGATTGTAAGGTGTACATGTCTGTCTGGCAGGTATCATCTGACATCTGTCTGCCACAATTTATCTGACCTTGACCTCAATGTCATAGATTTTTAAAAATGTTAAGTTTCTGTAATGCTTTTAGTAAAACCTTTATCTTTAAGGCTTTCAACATAAAATCAATGGAACTTTATTCCTTGAAAAAATGACGGGCGTATCATGCACTCAGGACTCTATTTTAAAATTTTTTGGTCAAAGATTCAAATGGATGAGTTAAATCATTACGGTAATATAGGAATTTTTGAAAAGTGAAGAGGTGTATGTTACCACAATACAAGTTGAGTTTTTTTTTTTCACAGGAAAAAAAGTTAGAAGTTACAAAAAGTACAAAGTCATACAAAGAACCTGTAAAATGTGGGCAGATTATATCAGAAATTGAGAGTTTAGGATGGGACAGGTATGTTACAATTGGTGTAATCTATGAATTCAGAGTAGACAATAGACTAGAAAAGAAACACAATTTGGATCTTGCATTCAAATTACATAGATTATTGTTTTATAATTATTCAAACAAGTTATGAGCATCACTGAAGAGACATTTAATGTTGAAATGTGCATCTGGTGAAGTAAAATTGGTATAATTGTTAATGTTACTAGATGAGTTATGCAAATCAGCTGTTGGCAGATTACTTAAAAGTTGAAAGTTTTGAACAAATTTTTAAGTTTCAATGGTTTTAAGCTATGAATTATTGGCAGATGATATAAGATACTCATAGTTTTGGACAGTTGAAGTATTAAATTAAAGATGTATTTGGATTAAAGGAAGGTTATATCATAGAATAGACATTCAAACTGTTGCTTAATTGTTTACGAATTAATGTAATTCATGATCATTATATGTTCTGAACACATTATTTTGAACCACTATTCTTTGCTCTCACTGCTAAATGCTGTTTGCTTGATTCGACAAGGCTGAATTAGGAACGTTTGACATCAAACATTCAATGTGAAAGTTCTACTATGAAATCACCAAGCTGGTTGAATAAGTTCAAATTAAATAATCATGTTAGTTGAGGTAGCTTTGATGTTACAGGGTTTTAACATCAGAGGTAGCAAAAGATTGAAAAACTACATATATCTAAGAAGAAATAAGTCATCAGAAAGCACCATCTTTCTTGTGTATTGTTGGGATTTGGGAAAAATTCAGGTAAGTTTCAATAGAAATACAATTTTATAAAGCGGTACATTACTGTAGCTCTTCACTTATCATTTCAGACTTGTATCAGTAGATGCTGACTTCACACTGTTACAATTCCTTCATACAGACCATAAAGGGAGAGACCACATCCTAGGAATGAAGCTTCATCCTCAGGTATTCTGTTTGCTTTGTGTGTACTTTTATTTTTGTCTTTTCTGCAACAAGGTTGTGAAAGAGAGACTTAGGCTATTTGTTTCCTGCATTGGTGGCATCAACAATCTGCAAAGCTTGTGATTAGTTAAGTTTAAGGGAAATCATTAATTGTAAGTCAATGATATTTGGTATGCATTTGTATTGTTATTTGCTCATCTCAATTTCATGCAGTTTATTTGGCCGCACATCCTCAGTCATGGTCCATTTACTTAAAATTTTGCATAGTTTACATGTTAAAGTTTGTTATTACGTCAGTTTAAGGGTTAACCACTATTGGTATATCAATGATATTTGGTACCTTATTGCATTAGCATTGGCATATCTCATTACCATTATTTGGCCCCACCCCAAGTTTCATGTTAAAGTTTTGCCATTTGAATTTCAACTTTTGCTTACAAAAATCAAAATTACATATAGGATAGACATATCTCTGTCAACAGTTTATTTATGCCATTCATTCATTTTATTTGTCATCCATTTCACAGTGGCTGAGACTAAGAGTAGGCACTGATCCTAGGAAGTGATTAACCTAAGGTATGCAGGGTTGTTGAACATATATCTAAGAAACTTTGTAGCCATTATTTGTTTATTAAAAGCTACAAAATAAACAATTGTTTACATAAGGAATATTTTTTTGGTTATATAATTATGACAATATATTTCAGCATCCAGTAGAACCACCTCAGTGTATAACAGATCTCCCTGTACCTTTTGATCCTCATTGGACAAATAAAGTAAGTTTATCAAATATTCATTTTCAATAAGATAAATTTTTATTCACAAGGAACTTATCTTGTAAGATTTATAATAAACTAAATATAAAATATATTGTATGAGAAAAAGATTGGGAAGAAGAATGTTTCCAACATGTATTAATCAATGAACTTTTTTAGTGTGTCATTTTCATAGAACAGTAAATTGGGAATGTCTGCATATCTTAAAATGGTGATTTGATATATTATAGAGTACTCTAGAAGATTTATACAACCAGTTCACACACAGTGTAAATAGTTACCAGTTATTTTGGGACTGTATGGAAGACTTAGACAAGAATACCTGGGTACTTGAACCAGACAACCCAAACTTTAGTGCAGTATACAGGCGTATAGCCATCAGTAAGATAAAACAGCTTATATATAAACCAAATGTTTACCATTTATTTCAATGGTTATCAGCTTTAGTGGCATACATTAGCATCAGCTTTAGTGGCATACATTAGCATCAGCTTTATTGGCATACATTAGCATCAGCTTTAGTGGCATACATTAACACTTTTAATCATTTCTGCAGTATACAAATATGTGTGCTAATACTGTAAATTCAGAAATTATTGTGTGATTTTATTATTGCGATTTTTCAAGAGTGGACAAAAATGCGATTTTAATTATTGCGATTTTTACGATTTCGAAAAAATCTGCATACTGCTCTATGTATCAGTTATCAGAATGCAAGTTCTTATTATTGCGATACTCACCCAGTCGCATTATTCGCATTAATAAAAACCTCCCAATAATTTCTGAATTTACAGTACCTATTTTTGCATTGCAATACAAGGTATGCAGGAAATACTACCTAAATAGTTTTATCTGTCTAGATATTCTTATATCGAAGTAATTCTCAAAACATGTTTTTAAAGTCATTCAAAATATAGGTCTGAGAGAAAATGTGTATTGAAACTTGTAATACCCCACGCAACGAGTTGCGGAGGGTATAATGTTTTTGACTCATCCGTCCGTCCATCTGTCCGTCCGTCCGTCTGTCCGTCCGTATGTCAGTCCGTCAGTCCTGTTTCTTGTCATTGCAACTCCTCTCAAACCACACAACAGAATTTCACGAAACCTTTTTAGATAATAAGGACATACTATGTAGTTGTGCATATCAACAGGAAATTACGATTCAATTCTTTTTCTAGGAATTACGCCCCTTTGAACTTATTTACTTTAATGTACTACTGCAACAGTTTGTCATCGCAACTCCTCTCAAACCACACAACAGAATTTCATGAAACCTTTTCAGATAATAAGGACATACTACGTAGATGTGCATATCGACAGGAAATTACGATTCAATTTTTTTTCCAGGAGTTACGCCCCTTTGGACTTATTTGCCCAATATACTACTGCAACCTTTTGTCATCGCAACTCCTCTCAAACCACACAACAGAATTTCATGAAACCTTTTCAGATAATAAGGACATACTACGTAGATGTGCATATCGACAGGAAATTACGATTCATTTTTTTTTTCCAGGAGTTACGCCCCTTTGAACTTATTTGCCCAATATACTACTGCAACCTTTTGTCATCGCAACTCCTCTCAAACCACACAACAGAATTTCATGAAACTGTGTAGATAATAAGGACATACTATGTAGATGTGCATATTGACAGGAAATTATGATTCAATTTTTTTTTCTGATACAATTTTTTTTATTTCTCCAATGACAATGTGAGGACGTGGGGTATGTGAGCGTGCTCACTAAGGTTCTTTCATTTTCAAAAAAATTTAAATTTTAGTTCTCAAATTTAGTTTTTCTTTTAAAGGTTCATCAGCGTACGTTCAGATCACAGTGGACCCCAAACAACCACAGTTATTACCAAGTTGTAGATTTATGGGAGCTGATCACAGTAAGTTGTCACATATATTTCTTCCAGTAGAAATAAGATTACCCGGTACAGAATATTTCTTCCATTTGTAACTGATATTATAAAGTATGGTAACTTTTATTACATGACAAATGCAAGATCGTATACCTATTGACTGGGTAAGAACTTAATAGAAAGTTTTCTGTGGCTAAGAAGCTGTGAAGTTGCCTGAGGCAACCATAAATGCTCAATGAAATAAAATTATGTAAATTGGTATCATTGTAGAGTGATAGAGGCAAATATGATGTCAAAATTCCTGTAAATGCAAAATAAAAACAAATGAAATTGTTACATAACAAAATTTCTGCATTTCAATAGCATCAGATATTGGTACTGGAACCTACAGATTGTGAAACTCATACCAGGTCAAGTTTTTAGTATATAATCTGATATAATTAAAAAAGGTCATATTTTTTATAGGTGTGAGTCAATTAAGACAGAACATGAACTCTAACCTTTATCACTGGTAAGATATAATTGATTCAGACAATCGATCATTTAAATAGTACATAAACTTATGAACATAAAACATTATACCACTTGAAAAAAGACTGTCTTTTTAGACTTTCCACAAGTGAATGCCATCCATCATTCCTACATGGTTATATATATTTATATTAGCTTTAATTCAGATATGTTTGCCACTTTTTAGTGGCATTATCCATACAGTAAAACATTTAAGGTACTTATTTTTAAATGTTCCCAATTTGACTGGTATAAGGTATTGGTTTACTGATATAAATTTGAAAAAAAGAAATAGTATATATGTGTAGGACTCAGAGGTGCGATGGAGACGCTGAAGTGCGATGATCTACGCCGAAGTTCGATGGTCTGTACGCTGATGTGCGATGGTCTATTTGACGCATGATGGCTAGTTTAAAATCTACAGATGTGCAATTATTATGACAAGTACATGTAGATTTCTTTAATAGTTAGTAAATGAATTTGCATTCATTATTGTCGAGCCTGCGACATTTGTCGCAAAAGCGAGACATAGCGATCCTACATTCCTTCGGCAGCGTCCACAAATATTCTCTCTGTGGTTAAAGTTTTTGAAATTTTAATAACTTTCTTAAACTATCCTGGATTTCTACCAAACTTGGACAGAAGCTTGTTTATGATCATAAGATAGTATCCAGAAGTAAATTTTGTAAAACAAAAATCCAGTTTATCTGTATTTTACTTATAAATGGACTTAGTTTTTCTGCCAGTTAACATTACATTCACTCTGTGGTTAAAGTTTTAAAAATTTTAATAACTTTCTTAAACTATCCTGGATTTGTACCAAACTTGGACAGAAGCTTGTTTATGATCAAAAGCTAGTATCTAGAAGGAAATTTTGTAAAAATTTATTTCCTGTTTTTCCATATATTACTTATAAATGGATTTAGTTTTTCTTCCAGTTAACATTACATACAGTCTGCAGTTACAGATTTTAAAACATTTATTAGATTCATAAACTATCCTGGATTTTTACCAAACTTGGACAGAAGCTTCTTACAATCAAAAGATAGTATCTCAATGTATCTAGAGGAAAATATTTAATCATTTTTTCCCCATTTTTGTTGAGCCTGTGACTAACAGCAAAAGTAAGCGAGACACTGGGTTCCGCGGAACCCTTACAAATTTTTGAAATTTTTATATATGTCTGTCCTTAATTACAGTTGCATACTAAATGAGAGATCTTCCTCTTTGATTTTCTACATGTGGACATAATTCTGCATTAACATTTTATCTTTACTTTGTTCCTCTCATGAGTTCCAAGTTTACCGTAATATAATAATACAGAGAGCCTGTCTGCAGACCCGTATGTATTTACAGAATATCACACTCCATCGTACGTAAAGAGAAACCATTTGTAGATTTCGAAAAAAATCGCTACAAAAGGTTAATTTTTCCTTATCCACCAATCCTCCCCATTTCTTGTAGTATTTAAGTTTATAAGCCCATTTTCAACTTAAAAACCTGGAAAACTGCTCTTAACATACAAATTGACTTCTACATTGACTATGAAAAGTATTGCAAATATAGTTTGTGTTGACCATCGACTTCAGCGTTACCACCATCACATTTCGGCGTAGCAATCAACAAGATAGGGTCACAATGCCACCATCGCACTTCAGCGTCAAACCATCGTACCTCAGCGTGACCATCTTGGTTCGGAGTATCATCGCAGTTCAGAGTCCTACATATGTATAACTGGAATATATACCATTCTGTCTTGGTTTACTCTTTGAAATAATTCACTCAACGGCACATGCAAATCAAGAAATATAAGAAGTTGTAGAAATTTTTTATGTATGATGTCTCTTAACATGCCAATTTATATCTAACAAATACTGTGAATACTGATTACAGGGATCCAGAAGGAAATCTTCTAGAGAATCTACAGAGTTTATTAGATGTGACCTTCCCTACTCCTTCAACGTCGAAGAAAGAGGTAGCAGTTTCATATATATTATTACTGTATAATTATGCCACGCCAAGGCAGAGGGGGCATTAAGTGTTACCATTGTCCGTCTGTATGTCCCAAAACTAGTTTCTGTTCTCAAACTTTAGTTTGCCTTAACCAAATTTCAAGATACACAATGCTATTACCATAAAACACAGATCAAGTTCGAATTTGGGTGCATCAATATAACAGTTCTCTTGTTATGTCCCATTATAACCTTATATGCAAGCAGGGGCATCATCTGTGTCCCATGGACACATTCTCTTTTTTAGCTCACCTGGCCCAAAGGGCCAAGTGAGCTTTTCTCATCACTTGGCGTCCGTCGTCCGTCGTTGTCGTTAGCTTTTTACAAAATCTTCTCCTCTGAAACCACTGGGCCAAATTTAACCAAACTTGGCCACAATCATCATTAAGGTAGCTAGTTTAAAAAATGTGTCCGATGACCCCGCCAACCAACCAAGATGGCCGCCATGGCTAAAAATAGAACATAGGGGTAAAATGTAGATTTTGGCTTATATCTCTGAAACCAAAGCATTTAGAGTAAATCTGACAAGGATAAAACTGATAATCAGGTCAAGATCTATTTGCCCTGAAATTTTCAGACAAATCTGACAACCTGTTGTTGGGTTACTGCCCCTGAATTGGTAATTTTAAGGAAATTTTGCAGTTTTTATACGCCCGTTTACGGGACGTATTATGGTATACCGTTGTACGTCCGTCTGTCCGTCCGTCCGTCTGTCCGTCCGTCCGTCGTCAACATGTCGGACATTAACTCAAAAACGCTTTAACCAATTTGCTTAAAACTTTAGTGAATTGTTTATATCTATTGACGTGAGCTCCCTTTCGTTTTTTATAAATTTTAGATTTTTCGTTTCCGAGTTATGGGGTTTTATTCATTAAAAAAAGGGGGATTTTCCAGTTTTCGGACAATAACTCAAGAATGCTTTCACCAACTTGCAAGAAATTTTGGTTAATTGTTTATATCTATTGACATGAGCTCCCTTTGGATTTTTATAAATTTTAGATTTTACGTTTCCGAGTTATGGGGTTTTATTCATAAAAAAAAGGGGGGTTTTCCAGTTTTTGGACCATAACTCAAGAATGCTTTCACCAACTTGCAAGAAATTTTGGTTAATTGTTTATATCTATTGACATGAGCTCCCTTTGGATTTTTATAAATTTTAGATTTTACGTTTCGGAGTTATGGGGTTTTATTCATAAAAAAAAGGGGGATTTTCCAGTTATTGGACCATAACTCAAAAATGCTTTCAGCAGTTCTCATGAAACTTTGATGAATTGTTGATATCTATTGATGTAAGCTACCTTTAGAATTTTATAAATTTTAGATTTTACATTTCCGAATTATGGGGTTTATTCATTAAAAAAGGGGGGATTTTCCAGTTTTCAGACAAAAACTCAAAAATGCTTTCAGCAATTCGTATGAAACTTTGGTGAACTGTTTATATCTATTGATGTAAGCTCCCTTTAGAATTTTATAAATTTTATTTGTTTATAGTCTGACAACAGATTTACTAAGTATTGCGCAACAGCACAGTGTATTGCACAACAGCAAGAAATCTTTAATTGAATATAAATTCAATTCATATAACCAACTTCAAGTTCTTTGACTACATATATTCAGAAACCTATAATAGATGTATGTCAAATATTTAATTACAATCCAAATTCAGACCTGTATCAAGCTTGAATATTGTGTCCATTTTTGCCCCAACTGTTCAGGGTTAGACCTCTGCGGGCGTATCCAGCTGCGCTCAGCGAAGCAGTTTATTGGTTATTATCTTGAATATTATTATAGATAGAGATAAACTGTAAACAGCAATAATGTTCAGCAAAGTAAGATCTACAAATAAGTTGTCATGACCAAAATTGTCAGTCGACCCCTTTAGGAATTATTGCCCTTAATAGTCAATTTTTAACAATTTTTTGTAAATTTTTGTAATCTTTTACAAAAATCTTCTTCTCTGAAACTAAATTTTTTGTAAATTTTTGTAATCTTTTACAAAAATCTTCTCCTCTGAAACTACTAAGACAAATTTAACCAAACTAGTCCACAATCATCATTAGGGTATCTAGTTTAAAAAATGTGTCCGATGACCCCGCCCGCAAACCAAGATGGCTGACATGGCTAAAAAATAGTACATAGGGTAAAATGCAGTTTTTGGCTCATATCTCTGAAACCAAAGCATTTAGAGCAAATCTGACAAGGATAAAATTGTTCATAAGGTCAAGATCTATCTGCCCTGAAATTTTCAGACCAATCAGGCAACACGTTGTTGGGTTGCTGCCCCTGATTTGGTAATTTTAAGAAAATTTTGCAGCTTTTGGTTATTATCTTGAATATTATTATAGATAGAGATAAACTGTAAACATCAATAATGTACAGCAAAGTAAGATCTACAAATAAGTCAACATGACCAAAATTGTCAATTGACCCCTTAATGAGTTATTGCCCTTTATAGTCAATTTTTTACAATTTTCATAAATTTTGTAAATTTTTGTAAATTTTTACAAAATATTTTCCACTGTAACTACTGGGCAAAGTTCATTATAGATAGAGATAATTGTAAGCAGCAAGAATGTTCAGTAAAGTAAGATCTACAAACACATCACCATCACCAAAACACAATTTTGTCATGAATCCATCTGTGTCCTTTGTTTAATATGCACATAGACCAAGGTGAGCAACACAGGCTCTTTAGAGCCTCTAGTTTCTTAACATGCCAGACTTGCCAGTCTTTGTTTTTACTGGACAATGAATTAGGAGAAACTTGTTATGTGAGATTTAATTTATGAATCTTGCATGGTCCAATCTCATTACATTTAACAAAACTTCCTTCTATAGTCTTTGTTTCCTTGGAAATAATTAGATTTATATAGTGGGTTGAAAATAATAAAGAGGGAAAGCTATAAATAAATTAAGAAGTTTAGTATACATCACTGCAACAACATAGTCAAACCAGAAAAGACATCCACAATTAAAAAAAGGGATTATTAAAAGACCAATGTCTATATGACATGTCAAACTCTAAATAGCACAGAGTCTATACAAGTTTTGAATAAATTCAATAGAAACTACCAAAAATCTGCAATCAACATAAAGTATAATAACACTAAGATACAACCAAAAACAACCATCAAGCTAATAATAAATATAAACAGTATATCACCAATCACCAAAAATACTGGAGGGCACATTAGACCACACCAACCACAAACTTCTGACTCCTCCAGTTCATATTTTTATACAATTATTACTTGGGCTATACTAATTAGGTTATGGTTTTATATCTAGTTTATATATTTTCAGGAGTTCAGTATGGAATGTGGGATCTGTTATTCGTATAAACTTGACACAGAATTACCCAATGAAGTATGTAATGACAGTAGATGTGGACAGGCCTACCATCATTCCTGTTTGTATGAGGTAATATTTAATTGATTGCTAGGTAATATATGTTTTTATTACAAAATTAGTTAAGAAAAGTAATACTTTGACCATATACTGTAATATTTTATATTTTGAAAAATGTTTCGACAATGTATTCTTAATATTTTTCCCTAGATATCTAACAAACACTCGAATATGCTGGCCAATACTATAAACTGATAAGTAAATTGTTATAGAGCAACATACTTCAGTTAAACTATATAAAGTTATAGAGATTTTATATTAAAATTGGAAGCAATTAAAAAAAAATATATTTAAACCTTGCTGTTGTTCAGGATATCATGTTCTTGACCAGGGCTTCCAAAATTTCCTGACGACAGCCGGACATTTTTCAAAGAATTATTTATGACGGTCAATGATCAGCTGGATACTTAAATGTAACTGAGAGGATGCATAAATTGATATATGTGTCTAAATAATTAGTAGTGTTATATGCAATAAAATTATTTATAACTGTTTTGTTTTCTTCATTCTAAAAATAAATAAAATATTATCCTCGGTATTGTGTCATTTTTCTGTGTATCGTAATACAGTAACCATCATTGCATCAATCAGCTTCAGTACCTGACTGTTCTCATGTTTTTGTTTCTGTTTATATAATCTATCTTCTCTCTGTGAGTACTTAACACTTTGTAAATTAAGGCCATCTTATTTGAAACTGTTGATGTTGGCTTTAATTGCAGTACAACTTGATCATCAATACACGTGATACTTTTCTTTTTGTGTATTTATTACCTGACCACGTGACTTTTACAACTGATGCGGTATTTATAGATAACATTGAGGAGGCCCGATGAAGGATATTGTTTTAAACCGTGTAAAATCTACTGATCAGTGATAACATTTTTCTTTGTACAATTTCCCAACCTGATTTAGAAAATAAGGAATAAATAAAAACATACTCAGTTGATAAATAATTTAATGAATAACAACATGATATTTTATGTAAGCATATAACAACAATAAAATGTCAGGAGAGCACAATGCTGACAAACACACGCAATAAATATTACAATGAGCACATTGAAAAGAAGCACAGATCACAGCACAAGATTAGAGTTCATTTAGTCTAATTAAAGATTTTACATTCATGAGCTTGCTAAATGCATTGTTCTGATAAACATGGCGGTTACGAACGGATTGCCATTTGCGGATAGCAGGAACAGGGTCAAAGTCTTTAACATCTACACCTACTAAGCTTATCCTCATAAGTTGATCTAAAGCGTCAATACCTAGACTACACCTTAGTCGATCATAATTCCCACGGCGGGACTTAACTTTACGTCGGACATCACCTCTTTCTCTATAACATCGGAAATTGTCTGAATAAATTCGGAGCAGGCATTGTTCTCTTGATATAATTTAGAAGTGATCACGGCACCATTTAACTTAGTTAAATCATTTATTGACTGAAATTTGTCCATGGGTTTTTCCTATATATTTTAGTAAATTTTCCCCTTGAGAGTACCCCAGTATTTAACACGATGTACAGTGTTAAATAAAATAATATATATCATACTTATTCATTTATAAATATCCTTATTTGAAGAATAACTTTTAAATATCAGGATACTTTTAAAACTGAATGCTCATTTAAAATAATATCTATAAAGCGTAATTAAATAGGATGTTGTTCCATACACGCTTACATGTTTGACCTCGTTTACCGGATTACCTTTATGTACATTGTTATGCATCATTAATTCTATTGATAAAGATAAGCTAAGGACACCTCATCAAAGGTAACAAACCTGTTATCAGTGAATGATTTATGGCTTCAATATAACTTATTGAAGGGATAATTGTTTGACAGCTTGTTGTTATTTAAATAAAAGAAAACGTGTTTTTTCTACTTTTTATTGATGTACACAAGCTAAAGACCAAGCCGTACATTTATGTACCCAGAGGATTAGACTAACTGAGACACTTCAAAGTATCTGAAATATGCTGCTTCTGTTTTATTAAACCCAATTATGACCGAAATATCTTTGTGAAATAGATTGCCACAATTATAAACTAAAATGCCCAAACGGACATGCACAAAGCCCCAAACGGACATTTTTATCGATCGATAGTTGGTAAAAATTGAAATGACCGTTTCATGAAAATGCCTTGAATAACAAAATGTGGCACACCAATTCTATTTGACCGTTTGAGGCTGAGAGCAGCCGGTCTTTTTATGAAAGTTTCGGTCAAGTCCGGAATATATGACCGTTTTGGAAGCCCTGTTCTTGACCCCTACGTTTGTCTTGTCATCAATCAGGTCCAAAAATCTCATGAAAAAATAATAAATTTTGTCCCAGTGTAGCTTGCTGTAGCCTGCATAAACAGCTTGCCCTCAATGCATACAGAGACCACAAATTTTGTTTTTCAGATCAATTTTTTTACCAGTGGTTTTATATTTTCTGTTGTTGAATTTACCATTCGAAATAGTTATTTGTCATTTTGTTTTCTCAAAATTTTCTGTAGCTAATGAGACTCTCAAAAATTGTATTTTTATACTGTCTATTTTATATGGACACTTCATGTTCCTGACATGTTTTGAATTTCTTTTCAGTGGTTAAGGTCATCTGGCTGTAGACAAAGTTTTAATACAGTTTTTGGTGAATGCCCATATTGCAGCAAGGTAAATTATTGGTTTTTTTTTATAGACATGATGCCAATTTACAATATTTGCTGTTGTAAATACATTCATTTGTTGACTGTGAGTAGGAAATCATTTATTTGTCAAAATGTGTCCATCATAAACCACTATCTAAAAATACACAAAATTTTATGTACCTACAAAGACAGACCTGAGAAAAATAACTGACAAATCCTTTAAGTAAACTTACCCATTTATTTTTAATGTCAATAGACAGTATGATTTGCACCTGTATCATGTCAGAGATAAATGTTGACACAAGTATTCTTTACCAACCAGTTAGACCACTAAGTCATGGAGACTATTTTTAATATCTTTTACTTTAATAAAAAGAGTTATTTCCCTTTAACATTAAACAGATATATAAATGATGTGTATTTTGCATGTGTTTTGTTGTTTCTTTTATTTTAAAGTTGTTTTTTTACAGCCAATCACAGTAAAGATGCCAACAACTTAACTACAGATTGATGATATCTATATTAATTCTAACCACCATGGAATGGCCAGCTGCACAACTCAGAGGTGTACCAGTTCTATTTAGGAGAGAGATAACATTGAAGTCAAGAGCAGCTTCAAAACTTTTCAACAAATGCCAATGATAATTTACAGTGATTTGAATGTAGACTTTGCCGAGTTTAAAAACACTTTTGTTAATAGGTGCCCACTTTTAATTATGTGTTACCAGGTTCTCTCATACGGGATGTGTACTCTCCAAGTATCCTTTAGACACAGATGTAAACCAGGAGAAATTATGATCTGTTGGAAGAAAATGAACTGTTTGTACAACAGAAGGTTTATTGCTAAGAAATCTCATAACATTTAATAGTGGAATATCTATTAAATTATTCAAAATGTGGCTTTTTAAAAACCGGGTACATACAAATTTTATGGAATAAAAATATAAGAGAAAGATACATTAGGCTTTCTGTTTTAAATTCATCTACATATATAATTTTTATAAACATTCAACATCCGAGAGGATAAAAAACATCCATTTAACATTACAGCTGTTACAAAAAATAAATGTATAAGAAGTTAGAGGGCAGTTCCTCTTGATCCAACTACTTCAGTTTTTATCTGATCACTGAAACAGATATCACTTTGCAAAGGTCAACTTCACAATTTTAGAATATAAAAAGTTATGTATTTGGAAGCATATATGATGAAAATCAAGTGCAACTACACAACTTTTGAACAAAGGACACAAATCAATAAAACTAAAGAAATTTTAATACAAAATTTATATATATTTGTAATGGAAATCATCATCATTTATTTCTGGAATAACCCCTGGTTTGCAATTCGTGGAAAGGAATCACTTTTTTTGTAATATGTACATGTGTACTCCTTTAAATGCCTGTTTAATATCTCTCCATAGTCTGTTCAAATCTAAAATAACAATACCACTAACAATCAGTATTAAAATGGCAGCTCCTGCATAACCAATACTAGCTGCAGTCATACGAGAATCGGTAGCACTGTATTTCCTTCTGCGCATGATAGAAGTATTAGATTTATCTACTTTCAGGCTTGTTACAAGCCAGTCAATTTGTTCTTGTAATGTACTGTTACCCCAAAAATCAGGTAAACCAGAGACCTCTGATCCACATGAAGGACAGGAACATGCTGGTGTTGTTGCAGGTGAAATGTCCACTGAGAGTGTGTAATTACAATCAATGTTAGAATCAATAGGATCATCACCTGTGGTACATACAGAATCTGGGTTCACGTCAGTGTTGGTGTAAGTGGTGTTTATACGTGGGAAAGGATTGGCACCTGGAATCACAAATATGTATCTTTAATTTAATTTTCAGTAAAAAACAGATATTACTGTATAGCGGGTAATTTTTGCAGGGTGCTTATTTTGGCGGATAAATGAAAATCTTGAAACTATATTACGGGAAAATTTATGCATACTTTCGGTACATTTTAATAGTTATATAACGTTTTGTGATAATATCTATCAATCTTATCTTTTTCCAGTCGGCAGATCGATAAGGGTATGCATTTGTTTTAATAACAATATTAATGCCAAAGGGCATTGTACATACATGTATTTTATAAAAGGATGTCATGAGTGCTAATTAAACAGTATATAGGCATACCCTTTTTATTTAGTGTCAAATAATAAAATAGTGTAAGGTACTCTGTTGGGTATTTTACCCTTAATAAGTGTCAAATTATTTAAGAGTTGTAAGTCACTTATGATAATTTTATAACCTAATTACTATATCAATGGTACGGTAAATTTCGTAACAAATCAACCGTAACATTTACAAGAAGTTTGTACATCCGTGACAAATATCTAAGTTACCGTTTTTTTATTGAATAACTGTATCTGAATATATTCAATAAACAAGACGTCATTCAGCAAAGATATGTTTAACTGTTTTCTGCCTATCACTTTTTTCAACTTTTTAATAGCAACCAATTCAGTATCCGCCAAAATATTTAATTGGGAATTAAGAATCCGCCAAAATAAAAACAGCCAAAATTTTTCGTATACTTTGTTGCCCCCAAATTGCAAAATTTTACACCCGCAAAAAAAAAACCACTCTACGGTATATAATTAAAGATGTGTATTTATGAATAATTTAGTTTCTAAAAAAATTATCTAGTATATAAAAAAAAAAGATGTGGTATGTTTGCCAATGAAATAACTTTCCACCAAATTCAAATGATGTGGATATACGTAACTAAGGGTTACTGTACATCCTTTAACATTGATCAAAACCCATAACATATATTCAGTTATAAAAGACATGAAAAAAAGAGAAAAAGTTCAAAGAAGGAAACTAATGACCTGATTAAATAGGCATTTTTGAATGAGTTCTGATTAAACAAGACCTAGATGACCCTTAAAACTGATTGAGTGAAAAAAAATGGAAATTGTTCTCTTTTAAATGTGATTGCCAGAAGTCAATCAGATTCTATAAAAATAGTTATAATATTGGATAAATGTAGAAACAATGCCATGTACATTCAAACCTGCTATAAAGGTTATTTCTATTAAGGGAAACTTGTATTGTCAGGTCACCATTTGCTTCTTCCACTGTAGTAATACCTATCAATGTATTTTGAACCTAAATTCGAAAGTCATTTCTCTTTATAATAAGGTCAGTTTTCTGTGGTCAAGAGGTGCCCTTTATATACAGGTATGATTGTACTATAGAAAAATTTAGTGGTTTAAAATGATCAAAGAATTAATCAGTATTACCAAATGGAGTGAACAAGAAGGCAGGTGTTTTATGGGGGAGGTACCAATGGTGTCTTATCCAATTTTGAACCCTGGATTACAAATGACTTGTTATTTCGTTAGAAACTGAATTTTTGGCCATTCTTAACATAATGTTGCTTATTGATCTTTATGAAGTCATATACTTATCAACCTTACAGTCATAAGAAATGCAATCAAAGTGAAGCAAGATGTATTTTTTTACGATGACAACCCTTGGAAAAGGCATCTGGATGTAACATTGGACTTATGCAAAATTGGTTTAGAATAGTTTGTATGTGAACTCGGTAAAAGAAGTCCATGTGCAGTTGACAATTTTTATCTGACCTTGACCTCAGTTTTAGACTTTCTTGATCTTGAAATACAAAATGTAATTTAGATACTGCATCAGGCATTGTATGTTTTGTCCTCTCTTGTTAATGAATGGAAATAACACTTTATAAATTGTGTGCTTTCAACGTGCTTACTGGATATACCTTCATTAGGAAAGCTCAAACCCAAATATTTGATAGACAAGGATGCATGAATACCTGAATATGTGAAAGAATGCATGAATACCTGAATATGTTGTATGAATACCTGAATATGTGAAAGGATGTATCAATACCTGAATATGTGAAAGGATGTATGAATATCTGCATATGTGAAAGGATGTATGAATACCTGAATTGGTGAATGGATGTATGAATACCTGCATATGTGAAAGGATGTATGAATACCTGCATATGTGAAAGGATGTATGAATACCTAAATGTGTGAAAGGATGTATGATTACCTGAATAAGTGAAAGGATGCATGAATACCTGAATATGTGAAAGGATGTATGATTACCTGAATAAGTGAAAGGATGTATGAATACCTGCATATGTGAAAGGATGCATGAATACCTGCATATGTGAAAGGATGCATGAATACCTGAATATGTGAAAGGATGTATGATTACCTGAATAAGTGAAAGGATGTATGAATACCTGAATAAGTGAAAGGATGTATGAATACCTGAATAGAGTAGCTACATGATCTAATAGAAACCGAAAATGAAAACAGAAATTCAGTTTGAACCTTAGTTTCTTAATAATTTTCAAGATTTATCAAAAAGAGAATTTAATTAAAGTATGTTATAGATCAAATCAGTAACAAAGTACTGACTATTGAGATGATGATCCCCTCCATGACTAACAGTACACCAGAATCAATATAGACCCAGCGCAAGAAAATGGAAAGAAACATATTTTACCTTCACTAGTATCAAGAACTCTCAAAACCATTTTTTTTAAAGCCAATGATATATAAAGACTTGTTACTTGTAATACCCATACCCACATATGCACATATTTTTCACACTATTCCCGATAGTCCTAAGTATCATACATGTCTCACCAATCTTATAATATTATAAAAGTACTCCTATTATTAACTTACGATAAGAAAAACAGACTTTCCTATAATATCTGTGAGGGAGGGTGCAAGTTGTTTTTGCCTGTAGTCTTTCATGTAGAATACAAGTTGATGTGGTAGTATCATAAGATAGACCCCAGCACTGCTCATTAGAACGGACATGCAGGAGACATTGAGTCTGACAGTCCTCCTCTGATAGTCCAATTTTTGTTGAGCTTACAGAGGTTTCCAAATTAGCACACTGTGTGGAATCAAAAATAATTTTACAAGAACCTGTGGATATAAAAATAAAAGTGTTAATATTATATATATTATGTATTTTAAACAAGGCTGAAATTTATTAGCTTCGGAGATCATAGTTTCTTTTCCCTGGTTGGGTAAATGGTATTCTGCTAAGAACACCACGTTAAGTAGTGGGTGAAAAAACAACAACATTGGATTGCTCGGAGTCTTAATAATGTGTATTTGTTTTAGAGTGATACATCTTCATAAAGACTGTTCAGACACAATAGTGCACGTTAAAAATTACTCTGTTTTGGTATTGTACAAAGAGAGTGTATTGCTATGACATGAAGATATATTGAATGTAAATCTAATATTTGCAACTGGACATTAAACACGGATCAAGCAATCTTTATTTTGAACAGTACAGTGATATAGGCGCAGAGAATCTGTATTTATAAAAGTTGTTCATTTACCAATAAGAATAATAGAATGTGCACTTATCTCTGCAAGTGGCGTCTCCCATTTGAAAGTTTGTGTTTATTTGATAAATATTTTATGTTCGTTTGAGTCTACGAATTAGAATATAAAAACGAACTACGATGTATTTTCATATCAAGCGAATCTGGTATAAGAAAGAAATTTATTTGTTCCAAATTACCTACCAAATAAGGGCAAGTCCATTTACAAATGACGTGGAGATTGATAATAATTGTTCACTACTAAATAAAACATTGAATTTAGATACAAATACTTTGATATGTGTTATCAATATGGCTATGATATGACGCTGATAAAAAAACCGTTTTACGCCCAGCAGCAAATATTACAGGTATCTTCCGCAGTCCGATGTTAACCCTTCACAGACACATTATTTTGAGGCAAAACGTTACATGCTGTACTAGTATTTGATTTTACTTATTAATAATGCGTGCATGGTGGAAAAAGACGAGTTTAACGTTTTAAAAGTGTTTGGTGTGCCCAGCCAGGCATCTCACATTTAACATACCTACGCGGTAGCTATAGGGTATGACATTTGTCATCTTTATACCTGAGGTTTAAGTTAAGGTTAACCTGTAGTTAATGTGTATTTTTTTTCTTGTTTGTTTTACTATTATTAAATTTAAACAAATCAGCGTAATTTATACGATTAATTATTACCAAAGATGTTTTGTTAATCGAGCTGCAGGTTAAGCTCTACGAAATTGAAGAAATTTCTCTCCAGACCAATTCAAGTATTCATTACACAAATTGCAGAAGTATCGTTGTTATCTCATCCTAACAAATATGTTCCTTCTAAGTCTGTCCGTCCGTCCTCGGAACCATGTAAACACCATACAGGTATCCGATCTTTCAACCGGGAGCCAAATGTGGAGCAGGGTCTGTTTACCCTACCGGACTGACATATGCGATCGCCATAAGTTTTTGGTGGGGTGCGTGTTGCTCTGCAGTCGTTATTTTTCTATGTAGTATTTTGTAGACTGTTTTTAGGCAGTGGCTATTTTGGTTTTGTAGACTGTTTTTGGCAGTGGCTATTTTGACGGTGCCGGCAAAATAGAAAATATGCTATTTTCCGGCTCTAGGTAAGCAGAAGCCAATTATGCCAATAAAAACGATTTTGTTTAAATATGCAATTCAAAGAACTGACTATTAATTCAATAGCAAACTTGATTTAAACATTTTTGATTTTGAAACTATGTGATTGATTTAGTTAGAGTCAATAAAGTTTTATGAAATTTATATGTAGTGAGATTTTTAACTTATATTTTTTTTTACAACATACAGTTAAAAAATCTGAGATTTTATTCTACGCGTACATGTAACATTAGACTGTTACTGATTTTAAAAGTAATTTCAACTACATATGTTTTGATATGATTTCATTGCTACAAATGGATGCTCAATATTTATATTTTATTTCTGTTTACACATTCTTATTTTTTTAAAACGATTATACGTATCTCAGATATTGTTACTGTTATCTTATTTAATTATATGAGTAATAATTCGATTCTTTTATGTTGACAATGCACATTTCCGTAGTACTTTTCAAAAGTAAATTAAAATTCACTCTTTACAAAGAACCGGCAAAATAGCCATTTCTATAAAAATATGCTATTTTACCAGCTTTAATTAAAATATTTTAATCAGAGCCGGCAAAATAACATATTTTCTATTTTGCTAACGACGGCAAAGTAGCCACAGCCTTGTTTTTTTCGCCATTTGACATTCAACAAAAAACAATCCAACAACAATTATGTTCTTTGTATGACTGGTGTAGGTAAACACGTTTTCTTGTACCTTTCAGTATTAGTTAGATATGATCTTTTCTTTTTAGTAAGTGTCTGTAAGTTTGGATGTTTTCACTATACAGTCTGTGGGATTCAGACTTACGGAATGAGTAGTGATGTCATTGCCTTCAATCTGTGTTTTTCGTCCAATTTATTGTAGTCATTTTAGGTGTTATTCTAAACTGTCGTTGGTGTTATTATTTTGTATTGTAGAACAGTGAGTTATTCTCTTTTAAACTGTTGAAGGCGAAATAACGTTTTCTTGTTATTGGCATAGCGTCCGGCATGTCTAGTGTTATTATTATGCCCCCGCCGCAGCTGAGGGGGCATTAAGTGTTACTCTTGTCCGTCTGTACGTCCATCCGTACTTCAAAATATTTGTTTACGTTCTCTTCCTTTAGTTTGCCTTAACCATTTGTTATGAAACTTATACATGATGCTTATAACCACAAAACAACACAGATTAAGTCTGAATTTGGGTGGCGCAGGAACATATATATTCATGTTAGATATACTGTTCCCAGGGTGGCGTCACTTTTACCGTTCCGTAGAGTTATGTCCCTTTTCAAATAGAAAAAAATGCATTTTTTTTTATTTCTATACTTTTACTTAAGTTTGCCCCAACCAAATTTTATGAACCAAAACTCACACACAATGCTTATTACTACAAAACTCTGATCAAGTTCGAATTTGGGTGGCGTCACTTTTACCGTTCTTGAGTTATGTCCCTTTATAACGTTATATGCAAGCAGGGGCATCATCTGTGTCCCATGGACACAATTTATTGTTTCCCTATTATGGGTGTAGGATGTATATGTTAAAATGTAGACTTGGTTAGGGGAGGGTTTTGCGCCATCAAACATGTTTAACTACGTCACATTCTGTATGTGCCTGTCCCAAGTCAGGAGCCTGTAATTCAGACGTGGTTGTCGTTTGTTGATGTATAACATGACAGTTTTTCGTTCATTGTTTTGTACATTAATCAGGCCGTTAGTTTCCTCGTTTGGATTGTTTTACATTTGTCATTTCGGGGCCTTTAATAGCTTACAGTACTATGCGGTATGGGTTTTGCTCATTGTTGAAGGCCGTACGGTGACCTATAATTGTTAAATTCTACAACATTTGGTCTTTGGTGGAGAGTTGTCTCATTGGCAATCATACCACATATGTTTATTTTTATATTGGCTTGCTCCATGTATCTTTTTTTCTCGGTTACGGGTTATGCATTTTCTAGACTAACTTACATGGTTCGCGATTTTCACATACAGCAGGCAGTTTGTCTGTACAAGGACGAATTGTCCATAACAGATCAACTTGACTGGCAGATACACAGAATTCACCGTTCGCCTGTGTTGTGGTAGACCAGTATGAAGATGTTATGGCGCTACAGTCTGACCATTTGAATATACCATCTGTATTGCTACCGTTTACATCATGCAATCCTACCCAGAAGGCAGACGTCCTGAATTATAGATTTTCTCTCATGAAAGACTATTTTTGATTCATATAATATACATTGATTTATATAATATACATTGATTCATATAACATACACTGATTTAACTGAATATGTTTAGAGATCTGAGTTTGCTAGCTGGCTGGTTGATTATGCCTAGCGAAACGAGCTGATACTATTTGAACATAGAATTAAATTACTGGTATCATTTTTTTATTTGAACTTTGATATTTTGCAATTTTAATACGACCGCAAAAAATTTTTGCGGTCGTATATTGGTATGACGTTGGCGTCTTCGTCGTCGTCGTCGTCCGAAGACACATTGGTTTTCGCACAATAACTTTAGTTTAAGTGAATGGATCTCTATGAAATTTTACCATAAGGTTCAATACAACAAAAGAAAGGTTGGGATTGATTTTGGGGGTTATGGTACCAACAGTTAAGGAATTAGGGGCCAAAAATAAGCATTTTTGTAACTTCCAGACAATAACTTGTGTTAAAGTGTATGGATCTCTCTGAAATTATACCACAAGTTTCCATACCACAAAGGGATGGTTAGGATTGGCTTTGGGGGTTTTGGCTCAAACCGTTAAGGAATTGGGGGCAAAAAAGGGGAAAAAACAAAGGTTTCCTGGTTAATGGACAATTTAAAAGCAGTGTAAGGGAGGTAATCCAAAAACAAAATTGTACAATGTTGGATTACCTCCCTTACACTGCTTTTAAAATATTTATTTGAGACTTTTATGATGTATTTAAATTGGTAATTACGGTTGCAAACTCCATTGGAAATTTGAATTGAGATTATGACCATATCTTGAGGGAAAGAATTTTTTTTTTGGAAAAGGGGGGGGGGGGGGGGGGGAGGGTGGAGTAAAAAAGAAATTGTGGGGTGCATTTTTTTTTTTCATTTCAGATTTCAGAAATTAAAAAGAAAATTTCTTCAAATATTTTTTTTTTTTGCAAAAAAAGGGGGTGGGTAAAAAAAATATTATTTTTTTTTTTGGGGGGGGGGGGGGGGCAATTCGCAACAGCATAGTATATTTCACAAAAGCTAAAAAAAAGGGGGGGTAATTTTTTTGTTTGTTTGTTTGGGGGGGGGGGGGGGTCAATTCGCAACAGCTGTCGGCATAATGTATTGCACAAAAGCAAAAAATTGAATATAAATTCAAATCATATAACCAATTCTAAGTTCTTTGACTACTGTTATTCGGTGTCAGAAATCTATTATGTGTCAAATATTTAATTACAATCCAAATTCAGACCTGTATCAAGCGCGAATATTGTGTCCATTTTCGCCCCCAACTGTTCAGGGTTGGACCTCTGCGGTCGTTTCTTGCTCTGAATTTCATGGTGTTTTGGCATCAGATTATCAAATGTAATCAAAATATGAAAAATATTTATTTATATAAATTTTAAAAAATCAGCAGACTTTAAAGAGAGTTTCCTTTACCAGTCTTTCAATATAAAATTAATAACCTTCACAAGAAAGCCCATTACCTCCATAATTAAACTGTTGATCCTATATATTATATGTACAAGAAACTTACAAAGCACTGGCCTCTTTCATGTATTTAACATAAACGGAGGTTGCAATTTTTCGAACTTCATCGTATATATTAAGAAGACGCCCACCACGTGTTTGGCATTCCACTGAAGCCTCGTTCCAGCTCATTCCCCCTTCTATCATACTAAAAATGAGATTGGTGGTCTCGGGTATTTTTGTTCCTCCTTAAAAACAAACGAAAGACAAATATTTTGTTTACAAAATCATAGTGACTTTTTTGTGTGTATAAATGTCATACTGCCCATCAAGGGTCCTTAATTGGAACAACAAATATTCTTATTCTATATTTATTCATACGGAGAGGGAGCTGAGAGTGTCAAAGCTTACAAGAGATAACATTTTTCATTTCAATTTCGTCTAATCAGTGTTAAATTTCCATGTTAACAAGATAGTAATGTGTGTCTCAAAAAATATGTGTTGTACGGAAAAGAAAATATTGTTGGTTTATTACATAATTTATGTTAATCCTCCAATTATATCCGACTTCTAGCAAAATGTTACTCTTTAATATTAATATTTCAGCTTAATTAAACAAATATGACACATAATTACGTGATCTCAAAAAAAAAAAAAAATTATTACACCAAGATGTTGGGTATCCTGCATTGATCATCTTTTACCTTAGATAAAGTCAAATTCCTGATGGACCCCCTTAACTTGAAATTATTGAAAGCTATCATTTTGCATTTACCATAATATCATAGTGTGATTTATATATACCATCGGGCCAATGCCTTCCGTGGTATAAGAACAAGAACATATTTTATTATCAATTAAGGGCCCATAAGGGGCATATAGAGCATACATGTATAAAGAATTTAAATACTCAATCACAATACAATTAAACTGTAATAAAGCCCTTGGTCTATAGTATATAATATAGTTACATGAAAAATAAATAGATCTGACTCATATTGACTTTAATAAACTTTACAACAACATTAAGGACCTGATTGTTTTCACAACTTAATAAATAAACGAATATAAGCTGATTTTCCAGTATAGAAAAAAATGGATTTTTTTTGGCAAACAAAGTCAAAGAGAGCGAGATATCTCTATTAGAGTTAAAATTTTCACATGAAGTTAAAAAATGAATTTCATCTTCACCACAGCCAAAGGAGTATTTTTTGCAAATTCTTTCATTTCGTGGAATATTTGATATTTTAATATATTTAGTGTGAATTAATTTTCTACATATATTCAAAAATTTATATTGTCCAAAATGTTTTACTTCTTGTTTAATTTCAAAACTTTCTAATATTTTTTTTAACAAATGAGAACATTGAAGAAGTTATGTTAGATTTGTGAAGCTCTTGTCTGCATTTATAAGCATTTATAAGCATCTTTCAACAGACTGAATTCAGTCGGAAGATGTTCAAATCTATACCAGTATTTAACAATTGACTTCACAATATCATAATGTAGGGGGAAACTCCCCAGTTCTGATAATACAGCAAAATTTACACTCCTTTTGTGTACAAGTATAAATTTAGAGAACTTGAGATGAAGTTTCTCACAGTGAAGATTTTTATAAATAGATTCAAGATTGAATAAGGAGGATTGAAATTTATTACAAGAAACATTATAACCTCCCCATACCTCTGAAGTATATAATAGAATGGATTTAAGGGCATGATCAAAAATATGAACATATCTAATACATAAATTCCTTCATATGCAAATAAAGATTTTTGGAATAACGTGAAACCTTACCATGGCTTACAGAAAATAAAGCAATCCATACAAACACTACCAACATTGTTCTGGCGTTAACTTGCTTGGTCGTCTGTTATAAAGACGAATGAATTTTTGAGCGGGAAGCAGTTAAATTTCTAATAGAAGACAATAACATCATGTGAATCTATATAAACACACAAAGCAGAAGTAATTCTTGACGCTTTACAACCCATGTTATGGATTAACAATGAAATTAAGACAAGTTTTCTTATTATTTATTGGATTTTTATTTCCGTTTGTTCCTGTTATCAAAGACGATGGGGCAGTCGATTATCCAACTTCCCTGTTAATAAATCAGATAATATGACACTACAGGGATAATACTTTTTAATAGCTTGACAGGTCTTCAATATGTTTTTACAACACAATACGGTATTAGTCGGTTCTTTTTTTAAAAAATCATATGGAACAGGACGGATCGACACGAACTGCTGAACATAACAACACAATACAAGTTTGAGACTTTTTCGGTTACATAACTACACGATGCAAATCCGACATATCATTCAGATCGTAATACGTTGCATAATGATCTATGTTGTCTCTTCAATTCCTTTGAAACTTGTCTATACTGGAGACAGTTTAGAGCTTGGCATAAGGTAAACACACTGGTCTTTTTTGAAGACCGTCTTTTAAAGACCAAACAGCCTATTGTTTATGCGCATTAGCTAACACAACTTGATTCTGACATGAAAGCTAACACCTTGACGTCTTCCCTGATTTGTATGTATTGTTTGATTGCTGTCTCATTGAAAATATATTCCAAATCACCTTTCATTTACACCAAACTGCGAATTGCATGTAAATACAGTCTTGCTAAAACATATATTGCCAGTTTTAATCGTGTGCCAGGAACAAAAATGTACATGAATCAAGAAAAGCGCTTCGGACGCATGAAATTTATAGCGTGTTGTTTCCGTTTTTTACAGCACTGGGTCGATACTTCTGCTAGTGGACTATCAGTCCCCGAGGGTATCATCAGCTCAGAAGTCAGTACCTCGGTACTGACATGATTTTTAACAAACCTTTCTAAAATTGTCCGTTAATAAATTTTGAAATTATAAAGAAACTAAGGTTTCAACTGCCTCAGGCAAAACTGACCTTAGATGGATTTGTCTATTTTTTTTTATGTCCTTGTTGCTCATATAGCTCTTCAATTGTTTCGGTTCTTATTCGTCATTGGCTTTCAGAAATTTGGCTTTGAGCGTTCCTGATGAAGTAAAATCCAGAGAAGTGCTTCGGACGCATGCAATTTATAACGTGTTGTTTTTATTTATTACAGCACTGGGTCGATACCTCTGCTGGTGGACTATCAGTCCCCGAGGGTATCATCAGCTCAGAAGTCAGTACTTCGGCACTGACATGATTTATAACAAACCTTTCTTAAATTGACCGTTTATAGATTTTGAAATTATAACGAAACTAAGGTTTCAACTCCCTCGGGCAAAGATGACCTTAGATGGATTTGGTTTTTTTAGGTTCTTTATGGTCAAATATTCGGCTTTGAGCGTCCCTGATGAAAGCAAATCCAGAAAAGCGCTTCGAACGCATACAATTTATAACGTGTTGTTTTTAGTTTTTTATTTATTTATTTTAGTTTGTCAAAATATAAGTTATTGTTTATAATTATTATTCAAAAGCAGCAAAGTTCGCATGAATAGGATGAATACAGATAGATACAAAAAAAAAACTTCATATAAGGAGAGAGAAAGAAAGAGGGAAGATACTATGGGAGCGATCTAGAATAAATCAAAAATCCAATTAAAAAAGACTAACACAATGGTAAAAAATAAGACGAACAACAATAGCAACACATAACACAGAAAACCAAAGAATGAATAACACTTTAAAAGTGCATATCTAGGACAAATCGTGAAATAATCAATTAGAAAAATCAAAATATCTACTTTAAACTAGTGAAAGCGGAAAGCAAAATTTGAGAGAGACAGTAACATTTCTATTGACAAGCTCATAAACATGTCCCTGTGTAAAGTTAGTATAGTAAGTACTCTTCCTCCTTCATAAACACATTTCATCGGGATTCGCGTGAATCACGTGAATTTCACCTGAAACTCATGTCGGAATTTCACGCGAAAATCACATGAATTTTCAAAATAAAGTTATTCAAATTACATCTTAATTTTCAAATGTAATTAAAATCATGAAAAATACGTATTTGTTTGGTAAAGTTCACGTGAAATTCGCGTGAAAATTTTTTCGTGTGATTCATGTGAATTTCAATTCATCAATTCACGCAAAATTCCAACGGTGAAATGTTCACACAAGTTTCACGTATAAGCTCGTCTGAGGTGAATTTCACGTGAAATTTTTCTCGTGAATTTCAATTGAGATTAATGTGAAATTTACGTGAGCAAAACTTGCATGTGTACATATAGTACACTAGTCACTATGGAAGAGCAATGAAGACAACAGACAACCGTCAAAATCAAGGAAACACAAGGTTATGTTAAGAAATTATGCAGTATCTTTATTATTGCGAACAAAAATGCGATAGGATGAATATTGATATAATTAAAACTCGCATTCCAATTTAACAGCATACTAGTATTTGTTTATGGTACTTCTTCCAATTTTACGATTATCGATATCACATCTTGATACCTTAATCAACAATCGCAATAACATATCCGAGTTGGCAGAAAAGAATTTCATGTTACGTAAATAAAGCTAATAGTACGGAATATATGCCCCATTCAGTCTTTCTCTCTCTCTCTCTCCATTAGTGGGTAAACATTCTAGGTTAGGCATGAGAAATTGCATTTTTTAATTATCAAATCAAGATTAGCATGTCCTGAAACTATAAATTACAGAATTTAGGGATTAAATTCGAATAAACAAAACACATGCAGGGTTTACCAGTTTACGGATGTATTAATTTCCGTATCTATTTTCAATACAGAAGCAGACGACTTTACTTTGAATTAACTCATTAACGTCAAAATGCACTTATTTGTACATTTAGAAAGGCATTAAAATGGATTTATAGATTAATGCACATAAACTTGCAGGAACATATTGTAATGGTATCGATTTCATGGATTTGCTTTCATGATTTCATGATTAAAAATTGTCTCACTATATCAAAATATCATATCATATATGATTTAATTGTATGCCTTCAATCAAAATAATAATTTAACCTTCAAATTTTCTTTTTATGAGAATGACAATTTTCTACTTCGATAAATTTTAAATGTCTTTATATCAATGTGACAAAATAATTTGAATTTAAACCTTCCTAAAATCTTCTACAATAGCCATAGTCCCGCTATTGACGTTCTTAAATAGGATAAATATTACACAAAAATGTTAAAATTGTTCTACCAATGAAACATCTAAGCTATCGTATTCGAAATCTACAAATATAAACAAAATGGCTGATGAGGACTGGAACTTATTAAGAAAACCTGAATTTATACCAAATCTGTACGTATTTTAATAGTTCTAAAGTGTTAATAATTATGATATTGATTTATTTCTATATTAGAAGACTATCTGCTTTAGTATATCACTTTCGTGTACTTAAAGTATTTTATCTTTTAGTTTATGATTTACCTTACAAAGTTACTAAAATATTTGTAATTGTTCACCTACAAAAACAGTTTTGTGTCAAATACAATGATTTGACCATTAAAAGATACATAAGAAGATATCAACCTAACAAAACAAGGTAAAAGTTCATACTTGTTAGAGGTAAAAAAGAATAAAAGTTGTATACTAATTGCGACATAAAACATTTAAAAGGGGGAGGGCAGCAGATATTTTTTTGGCACAAACATTTGATTTTTCAATCATTGTGCATAAATAGGATGTATTTGGACGTTCATTGCTTGAATATGTATTTAAAGTTTTCATGCACTACTATTTCAATCATTTTGTGGGTTTTGATATTTATTGGCAAGCTTTCTTCGGAAAGATTATTTATTTTTGCGAGTTGCAAAATATATTTTGAGTCATTTATTTGAAGAATCCTCCTACCTCATCTAACATCAGAATATTTCATAAAAAGTTTTCATTATAGAGAACGTATGCCAATTCACCACAAGATAGGATCGCACCAAAGACAACATATTGGAAGAGCAAGAACAAAACGACGACAACAGAGTCCTAAGTCAACCAGACGCCACCACAAATATTCCACCGACGAACGAATAACCCGTAAAGCTTCAAAAGCCAACTCAGACTTATGGCTAGACTTTAACTTGGACGCTTCTTTGTCAGAAAGCGAAGATGAGCAACAAGGTTTATTTAGTTATTTTTCAGTTGTACATAGTATGAATTCAACCAGATAATATGTAACAAACAATGTGAACTGAAATGTAATTTTTCTTTTCTATGGCAGGGAGAGAGAGAGAGAGAGAGAGAGAGAGAGAGAGAGAGAGAGAGAGAGAGAGAGAGAGAGAGAGAGAGAGAGAGAGAGAGAGAGAGATTAGGGATGGAACGACAGTAATATGTTATAGAATAAAATTAATAACAATTTTTATTGTTATATTGAATAGAATCCACACTTTTTTCATACCATTACTCTATAACAATCTACATGTAACTATAATTGTTTCTCTTGTTTTCATCAGAAACTACTCAAGATGGAACAGAAACAAGTGTGCTGGTGTACAATAATTCCTGTAAAAAGTTTGGAGTCACACCACGTGATAGTGTTTTGAAACATTTACTAACAGACAAATTATCCATCAACAACGGTAGACTGACACGCCACGACATTCAACCTTTAGCATATTCTCTCACGGTATGTTTAATATTTCTTACAAATTGCATAGTTTATTTTATTTTGTGTGGTCACTTCAAAAGGCGGGCATAATTCAAATAAATAAACCGGACAGGAATACATCAAGATTATAATAACACATTTGTAAAATACTGTTACTTGAACTGTATTTATAAATTTCAAAATAAGATAGTTTGATAGTAGGTTTATATCTCCCTCGCGCAAAACTCTGATTCCTTGCCCTAATTTGGTTATACTTTTTTTGTCGTTTTTGGTTTATAAGCTCTTCATATTTTTGATAAACTTTGTATTTTCATATATGTTGGCCCCGAGCATCACTGAAAAGACATTTATTGTCGAAATGCACATCTGGTGCAGAAAAATTGGTACCGTTAATGTTATTAAAGCTTGGCATGGGCCATGTCTTAATTATACGTATAAAATCCAAACCATCTGCAATACAAATCAGACTCTACATAACATTTTTTTTAAATTTTCAGATGAATAACACCATAACTATATTAGATATTTCTGGGAACAATCTTGGAGGAGAAGGCTTGAAGCATTTTAGTAGAATGCTGGAGGAAAATGTGTCGATAACTGACCTTGTAAGTTGTTGTACAAGTAAAACGTATACCAAATTGTTCACATATGGATTTGCCTCGTTCAGGAACTGACATTGTAAGTTGCTGTGTGCAAGTTAAACGTGCTAAATTGTCCATATCTAAATTATCTCGTTCAGGAACGCTTGGATCCAAACGTTTTGAAAATCAAAGGCGTATGAATACATGAAGGTCTATAATTAAAAGGGACTAAAAGGAATAGTCGAAACATTGTACGGTCGACTTTGTTTGAAGGGGTTACATACATGCTTTGTCTTTTTTTAGACATTACAAAATTTGTCAACTACAAAACAAAGATTGTACAAAGCAAAAAAAATAGCAGAAGAAAAATCATCTATGTTTCTAATTAACAGCAGAGTTTAGATTTTTTTATCTTTGAAAATTCCTGATATTATTCCTTGCAATTATTTAAACACTAGTACTGCTTTATAACTTAATCTGTCACAGTGGTAAGGTAAAAAGTCATTAAGCAAGTCACTCATTTAAAATAACACCGTAGTTAGTCTTTTACCATGAGGTATGGTGGCCGGATTAGGGCATTTCGCGTTTTCGCGTTTTCCACTTCACGTTTTCGCCCTATAGAATATGAAAGGCGAGAAAGGGAAAACGCAAAATGGCCTTATCCGACCACCATAATAAGGTGTCGTAATGAACGACAAACGATGGCTTTGTTTTTAAAATACACCACAGAGCTCTATATTTTTTTCCACAGGATGTTTCCTATAACGACCTAGGTTGTAAAGGTGCCATACTTCTTGAGCAGTTACTTAGTTCCAAATCAAATCTGAAATCTCTTAATGCTACAGGTAAACTATATTTTGTTCTTAATCTCTTAATGCTGTAGGAAAATTATATTTTGTTCTTCGATACTATATTTTGATCTTCCGTATTATATTTTGATCTTCCGTATTATATTTTGATCTTCCGTATTATATTTTGATTTTCAGTATTATATTTTGATCTTCCGTAATATATTTTGATCTTCTGTATTATATTTTGATCTTCAGTATTATATTTTGATCTTCCATATTATATTTTGTTCTTCAGATTTGTCATATCTCATTTATTTTTTAGAAAGATGTCTCAGTTTAAGCAATTTACTTGCATTTTTTTCTAACATACTTTTGGTTCTATCGTCTCATTTACAGTCCAGAGAAACTTTTATATAGACATTGTGGAATGTGAAATTTACACACACGCATACTGACTATTTAAGATGCATGTTTAAGAAACGCACATTGAAACATGTCTAAGACATTATCAGATTTCTTATACATATCAACTCTTTTTTCTTATACCCTTTATATTGTTATGTAGGGAACAGTTTTGGAAACGAAGAATCTCGCTGCTTTGCAGAAGCTCTAAAGGTATTCATGTATTTGTTATTGGATATGAAATAATGACATAATATTAAACTTATACTTATAGGAATTTAATCAAATCGGTTAAACTATTATATAATACTACTAAATAGTGTGTTTGTGTTGTTAAAATTATTTATACATTAAAATTCTGATTGGTATGTATCACGCGGTATTTGTGAGAAAAAAGACAACTCTGTTGTATCTAAGTACAAGTTTTAAGTACCATAATGTTATTGCTGAACTGCAATGGGTGGATAGGAACACTTATAATAAAGTCAATGTATTTAAAAAACAATTTTTTTTTAAACAAAATACTTAAAACAAAACAAATACAAAAAAAAATGTTCGATATCACTGATTTTCTGGGTATGTTTTTTTTTGGTGAAACCTTTGCATGAGTGCTATTAGCTTGATGTTTCTGTCAACATACAATGGTTCCTTTCGTTGTTGAAATGCAACCATAATACGTCTCAATTAAAAATATCTTATGTGAATTTCGAAATTTTAGTAGATCACTACTAGCTTGTCAAAATAGTACTACATGTACGTTAAAGTATGAACAAAAGGATGTGTGGTATACGACAATGAGACAGCAACAACACGTCATAATAATACCAGACATCTTGATTAAGAAAGAAAGAAAGGTTTAACAACGAAGTTACGTATGACGAAAAGAATAATTCATAACAAAATGAATGTATCATTTCAAGACATCGCTTACATGTCATTTGAAATTCAGTCTTGAGTTCAACAATGCACGTTATTAACACTTACCATGCTTTTGCTTTCTCTCAGCACAGGTACTTGGGCCAGGACACTGATTTTTCGCCCTCACTCCCCACCTACCCCCAAAATCCGTAATATTAATATCAATTGATAGTTTACTATCCACAGATGTATACTATATCATGTTTGCATTTACTTAATGAGGGCCCCAAGTAAGATTAATGAAAACTAACCGGGTTACCCTCTTTAAATAAACATTATTATTATTATTATTATTATTATTATTATTATTATTATTATTATTATTATTATTATTATTATTATTAGAGGTCACTCCATGGCTTTTATATTTAATTGTCAGTGACCGCTGTGGATAGTAAACTAGCAAATTAAAAAAAATATTCTAGTATATGTATGTTAGTTTAACACAAACAAAAAACACGAAAATAATAGAAATTAAAAAATAACGGATTTGAGAAAAATAGGGGGAGGGCAACACAAAATGTCTGTCCCCAAAGTACGTGTATTCTCACGATGGTTTATATTTTTAATGACATAATACTCACCTAGCAGCTGTTCTATGACTTATTTTTTTACAGCAAAATACAAATCTACGTCAGTTAATTTTAAGTGACAACAATATCCAGGAGCAAGGAGGATCGCTGCTTGCAGAGGCATTAGGTATGTTGCTTGAACACAGACAATTTAAAAAAGATAAAAAAAAGGCCAATGTTTAAGACATGAAACAAAAACGTCTTAAATAAAAAGATATTTTTATTAAAGCCTAACCCAATTGCATCTTAGCCACAACTTTTTAATTGATTTCATTAGTGGAGCGGGAACGTCTGACGTTTCCAGAGCACTTGCGTTCTTTCCGTGCTTGGTTTCGTATAGCTTGATCGTTAGTTGTCTATGTAGTGTTTGTGTTTTGTTGTTTGTCTCATCGTCTTGTTTTTCTTTTTGACCATGGTATTATCGGCCTTTCTGTGACTTATGCTTTTTAATTGTCACATGGTATCTTCCTTTTTTCTCTCTCTCCCGATACTCTAACTTAAATACGATGTGTAAACCTTCAAATGTATAATTTGTAATTTTGAAGCATTGAATCATTATAATTCGTTTTATAATTTAGAAAACAACGAATATTTACAAGATTTAGATTTAAGTTGGAACCAACTGAGACTCTATGGCGCTGTTGCCATCGGAAATAGTTTACAGGTAGGATTTTTTTTGTAAATATAAAAATAAGAACATGTGGTATGATTGGACATGTGACAACACTCCACCAGAGACCAAATGACGTAGAACAACTATAGGTCACCGTACGGCCTTCAACAATGAGCAAAACCCATACCGCATAGTAAGCTATAAAAGACATCGAAATGAAAAATGTAAAACAATTCAAACGAGGAAACTAACGGACCGATTTATATACAAAACAATAAACGTAAAACAAATATGATATACAGCAACAAACGGCAATCACTGAATTACATGCTCTTAGCTTTGGACAGGCACATACAGAATGTGGCGGGGTAAAACATTTACGGTAGTGACAACATTTTTTCTTGCTTTTTGGATTGAGATACAGCCGGGCACTTCTTTATTTTTTGTTTTCTTCTAGAATAATGAATCATTAAAACATCTGAATGTGTCCTGGAATGGTTTTGCAGACTTGGGTTGTGAAGCTGTAGGGAGAGCAATAGCGTCAAATTCTTGTCTTGAGACTTTAGATTTGTCCAGTAATAGAATTGGATATGAAGGATGCCACAATCTTGCCAAAGCTTTAGTTCTTAATAATACATTGACATGCTTAAAGGTAATTGGTAATTAATACCGGGTATTTAAGAACAAAACGGCCGATATCATTAACTTGCACTTACTTTTGTATAGCAGGCAGCTCTATTTATTTCTATTTTCAAATATACTCTCTGGGCAAAGAAACCAACTATGTTTTTACTAAAATGAATTTGATTAATGTGTTCTCGTCCTGAACATTGGTGAAATATTTGTCACTTGACGTTAAGCAACCAACAACAAATAAATCAGTTTGACCAATTTTATAATTCATAGTGCTTCATTTTCATATCTCTATAAACTTTTAAAAGTTCCGAGGGTTCTTAATGAAGGTAAATACAGAAAAATACGAAAACGCTTCGGACGCACGAAATTCATGAAGTGTTATTCTCATTTAAAGTATTCAGTTAAGTTGCTTCTCGAAAAACCTCCAAGACAGTTCATCACAACAAGATAATGACGACACTACGAAATGTTTATTTGGTAATCTTTTTTCAATTTACAGGTGAATTACAATTCGATTACCACACGTGGAGCTTTAGAACTTCTTGTCGCGATAAAAGAAAACTATACTAGTGCCATAGACCGCCTTGAACTTCAGGTAAAATGTCATCTCTGCATTATATCTATATAGATATAAGAAGATGTGGTATGAGTGCCAATGAGACAACTCTCCATCTAAGTCAAAATTTATAAAAGTAAACATATATATATGACGCTTCTGAAGACGTAGAAATAAATTAAAGAATTCAGTACAGGAAAAATTGCTTCTATCTTTTTTTTAAATTTTGAAGATTTGAATTTAATATATAAAATCATATGGTATAATAGATCGTGTTGACACCAAGGTAGATATCAAAACAATATGCAGAAGAAAGACATACAGGATATAACACATTAACCAAAATAAAAATATTCGACCAAACAACAGTCAACAAAACTAAATATCAAGTAATTATAACCTCAACCAAAAACCGTGGTTGACTACCCTCAGGTGCTCCGAAAGGGTAACAAATGTCTGTTACTCCAGTTAAATCCTGTGGATGAAATAGATTCAGACGATGTTGCATTGCTCCTCCTTAAAAATCTAAAGGAAAATATGCGATAATATTGAGAAAATGAAATAATTTGTTCTTAGTGCAATCTAGTTAGTGTACTAAATGTATTAGTTTATTTTCATTTCTTCCATTCGTTTCCTATTGCTTTTTTCATTATGTTATTAGATTTACTTTATTTCTTTCCATACTGATTTGAATGACTATCATATAAGTGCTTTCAAAGTCTTATGTTAGATTTTACTTTAACTTGAACCGTTACTCATTTTTTTTTTCATTTTAGGATGTGCCAGTCGTGCAAAGCTGTTTAGAAATTGCAACAGACATTAAGAAAAACAGAGACAATTTTCGAGTTATCCACGATGTGACAGTATTATCAGAGGATTTTATTCTTCGGTGTGTTAGACCTAACAAAATTTAAAAAAGTTCCATTTTTCATCAGGAATGTGGTTTTCATTTGTATATTCTAACATCATGTTATAGCTTTCCTAAGTGGCATAAGCCATAAGTGATAAACTTATATTGTCATCAGTGCCATATATAGACTAACAGTCTTTCATCTGTAATTTTCAGGAGAGAAAAAATCGTGTTCTCCGTTCCGCGTGAAATGGAATTAAATTTGTAACACTGACTATTCGAATTAGGATTAGGTTAAAAAAAGTTTAATTCTGCAACAGAAGACGCCAAACCAATTGATTAATTCCTATATGAGCAGCACGGGTAAGGGACTAATATGAAATAAAAAAAGTCTTTGTTCGTGTTCAGAGTGTTTATTTATTCATTTGATATAAACTCTTTAAAACATTGTTGGAATAAAATACAGAAGGAAACTGTGTGATCAGTTGTAAAAAATCGCAAAGGTATGTCGATGAATTAAAATTTAAAATTTGACCGAAGTGCATTTTTGGGACCGTCTGTCTGACATACATTGGTTCTTTACCTTATTGTTGAAGTAGCTGTCAAGTAGTAGACACAAAAATCAACATCGAAGGCGTCGTGTTGGTTTCCAACTGTATTTCATGGGATTTATGTCTTATGCTCATCCAGTGCAAACCAAAAGTACACGTGGATAGGATACCGTTTATGTGCACCTTAGTGTGAGTACTCCGAATGACCCCTTAAACCCGTGTATATATCAGTCGTCAAGCTTATATACCAAATGATGTCTGTCAATATACATAAAAGTTCGATAAAAAATAAATCATAATTTTACTATACATGTAGTGGGGGCTGGGTGGGGTGGGAGGAGCGGATGGGGTGGGTCATTCGGAGTACTCCCACTCATGGGGGACCCAAAGGATATCATGTCCACACGCAAATGTGCTCCAAACTATAAGCATGGTTATCTCGTTCAATGTACACTCAGAAAAGTTTCCTACAAACTATTCTTAAAAAGAAAAGAATCAATATCAGTTAAATAAATGCGTTTTACCTTTGAATACTAGTAAAATATATTGGTATTGCATATGTTTTTTCTCTCTCTATAAAATAGATATCAGAGTTCCCGTTTTGATCAGTTTGATTTGTGGTCCAGATATTTACAAGTCCAAAATCTATCTGATTTAAAACTTCCCCGTAAGGGCAAAGGCTCCAGAGAAACAAGTAGCCAAAGATAACTTAGTTAATCACTCTTCGAATATGTTATTTCTATTTCAAATATTTGTCATCTTTAAAATGATGCAGATCACATAATGATGTTGTTTTTAACATTCAAATCTGTATGTAAATTTGGATATTTCTGTGAAGAAATCGCATTTTAACCATTGAATAACCGATTATATTGGGTTTTTTCTTTTCCTTTTTTTGTAGTGTCAGAAAATTTAAACTGCATGGCATTTCGTGATATTAGAGAAAAACATTTTACAAATCATGCCTTTAATTAATTCATACCAAAGGCATATATGTAACAAAAAAGATGGTCTATATATTTCTTGTGGGGAACCCTAACTGAGGACTGTAACTCAACGTTGTTGGGTTGCTGTCGGTTTAATAACGCATATCCCACATCTCTTTTTATTAATCTGCATAGGAAAATCCCCATAACGGCTTTGATAACTTCTTGAATTTTTTTTAGTTTGACGACTTCACAATTTTTAATTTCGTCCGACTGGCATCGTGAAATCAACTCCACCAACTTTGCAATGGCTTTCTTTTTTTCTCTTTTATTTATCAATAACATTCATAATCAATAATGATATTGTAAAACACCAGCCCCTTGAACACACTGATTTGCATTTTACTGCTGGTTCGCTGCTCTCATTCGGCAACGAATCCAAATACGTGCATTCAAGAAAAGTCAGTATCATTCGTATAATTAATGAAATTCCAAGACAGTTCGATGTTTCATCTGCCGTGGAACAAGGAGAAAGGTGGTGATGGTGATTGGCCATTCCCTTAAAGTCTCGCGTACCCGCAAAGCGTGATTAAGTGAAGATAATCTGTAATCATTATTATAAGTAACTTTTTCGCTGATCAATATATAACGTTCTGGATGAACACAAAAATAAAAAAAAATATGCAACTTAACTTGAATTTCCATATATTATCTTAAATTTTATTCGAAGTGATGTTGATTTTAACTTGCAATTGGTTCATCATAATGAAAGTCAGAATAAATTTTAAAGTCCTATATTTTTCCTTTTTAAAATTGGACAAGGCCAACATAAAATACTGCTCCGTGGAATGTAAACAAATCTTTAAACAAAAATTACCGGACATATGTAATAAAAAAATAACATTATACTAAATTCGGAAAATAAAACTTCGATCCGGACTTGATTTAAAACGAAACCAGAAATTAATTCGAATTGTATATAGTTCCATTTAAATTTAATTTAAGTTAAGTAGACAATGATAGTTAAATGAAATTAATTGTCATTTATAAGTAATCAATACTTAAATTACCGGACATTTAAAATTTTACTGATAAATAACATTTTAAAGTCGGAAAATAAGCTTCGATCCGGACTTGATTTTAAACGAAACCAGAAATTAATTCGCATTGTTATATAGTTCCATTTAAATTTGATATAAGTTAAGTGGACAATGATAGTTAAATGAAATTAATTGTCATTTATAAGTAATCAATACGTATTTTCAAGTACGATTGAGTTAAATTATCAATTACTTTTAGTTTCTGCCTTTGTTTATTACTTGGCAACAGCGGAACGTTATAGCGTCATTGATCGTTGTTAGGTTACATGTGTTAGTTGCAAAATGTCGAAACTATCTCCAACTGATGCTAGGGCTATTGGAGAAGCAAGGGAATCATGGTGTGCCGTGGAAATGAAAAAAGAGCAGAGCTGGTGTCGAACAGAAAGGAAACACCATGGGGATCAATTTACAAGCACGGCATTTGATGAACACAAACCTGGATATCAGCCACGTTGTACATTTGAGATAAATGCTCCCACACATAGAGAAAGAAAACATTACAGGGAACAAAGTAAGATTTTCAAATATATTATTGTTGTATGGCAATGTTTATCGTCAATGTAAGGTCTGATAACTTCTTTGCGTGCATATTTTCACTTCCCGGTCTTAATATTATAAATGTTGTTGAAGTGAATTCATATTGCAATATCTCTGAAACAAATTTATACCCTACACCAAAAAGAACCATGATATTTGACAAAAGCCTAATTGAATGCCTTGAAATATCATATGTATCATAGTCTCAGCAATAAAAAAAAGTACGAATATAGTACAGTCTTAAATCACTATACTACTAATTATTTTACTGCACATATATATTACATATATAATAAACAATTAAAAAATATGATAATGATACAAGATTAAACATAGAAGGTGTTGAAAACATAGCAGACCCTAAATGTTTGCCAAATTTGAATTGTGTGAACATGCCACAATTTATCAACCCTGTTTTATTGATTAAACACATGTAAATGGTTGATCTATTGATCAATTATTTAATAAATCATTTATTGACATAATTTGTTTTACCTGGCATCCGTACAATAATTTTATTTGCTATGTATACTATATGATTGATAGAATATGTCCTGTGTTCTGATTTGGAAATTTTACACAGACTGGTCGATTTATAATTAAGAAAAATATGTCGAAAGCAGATTATCTGAATACTGATATGCTAGAATTTCTTCATTTATCATAATTAGATTGAGCTGTTTTGTTAAACGTTATTAAACAGCTGAGTATGGTGTCGGGTAAGCATAAGCATTGTTCGAAATGTAGAAAAAATCTTAAATATTTTTGATCTTATTCTTAAATATGCAGCATGCATGTACATTTCGTACATAATTTTTTGACGTAGTATTCCAGTTTTAAGATATATCTCTTAGAATTGAGATTCATAATGTGTAAATAACAATTTAGAATACGAATTATTGTCTAATTAAAAACTGTACTTTAAAATTATAACCAGACAGTTATTGCTGAAAATGAATTGTTATACTTATAGTTAAATATATGTATTAAATTGATGTACAATAAGGATAACACAAGAAACCATTTACGGGCAACCCCTTCAGTGGCGGATCCAGGGAGGGGGGTCCGGGAGTTGGAACCCCCCTTTTATGGACGATAAATGAATTTGAATGGGGACATATAGTTGGAACCCCCCCTTTATCCTGGGTTGGAAACCCCCCTTTTAAAAAAGGCTGGATCCGCCCCTGCCCTTTAATTCTATTATAATAGTATCAATAGCTTTTCAAAATGGTCAAGTAAATCAGTTTGATTGCGACGACATAACCTTAAATTACCGGCGGAGTTCCATCTGAGGAAGATGTAGGTCCGAATCCAACTATTTTCTTTCACTCACAGTGTAAAAATCCAAAAGGTGTTTAAACTTGCGTACATGTAGATTTAAAATTTTCACATTAAAGATAATTGATTTAACAATAATGTTACATTTATCCATCCAATCAAATTGATATTCCGAGTGCCAAAAATGTTGTTTAAGACAGTTTTATGCAATTTCGCAATTTTTTTTGCTCATGTCACAAGTTTTGTTAAAGTTTTCATTTAAGAACAGTCTTTGTTACACGTTCAGAAAAGTGCAATTATGCTGTTAGAACCTCATGGTAAACACAAGTTGCTAACTATTTTGGTAATGATTAGAAGATTTTTTGAAAATTGCCCTTGTGACACCATGTGAAACAAGTTAATTGGCCCTACATGTACCTCTTCAACTTTTAACACCCGGCCCTTTTTTTGAATAGTTCTCGGTAAAATTAAGATAAAATTTATCACGTACAAAAGGAGAATTTATTTCAATGATTTATTATGTAATTATTAAATCGTTATGATTATCTTGAGGTGAAATATAAATATTGACTATTATACTTTTTGTCAATATCAGTATATTGTATTATTACTTTTGAAATTTTAGGTTTTCTGATTTAGTAGTATCATGGTAAGATGCTTCCAATGCTTAAATGTATAATTAACTATTGTCTTTAAGCTTATAGTGAAACTAACCTTGTAGATATAATGCAATTCCTAAGTATAGTCATTTTCTAGAATTATGTTTCATAAATTTAAATTTGTAGTAGCGTGATATCCGAACAGAAAAATCTTGACGTCACTTAGTTAAACAATTGTTTCTTCACATACTTGTTATACAGGATAAAGAATGACATTTACCGTTGACAAAAATCGAATTGAATCGCGAATACACCTTTATAGGAATTATATATAAATGAAGGAAAACACAGAGTCCTTGCGTCAACAACACAGTAAAGAAAAAAATCAGTATTCAGTGGTCACAATACGACCTAACATAAACAATATAAAACAAATAAGAATATATGATATGACTACCAATGGGACTAATATCCATAAAAGACCAAATGACGTAGATGTAAGCATCTATAGGTTACCGCACGGTCGTCAACAATGAGCAAATCCCAAACAGTAAGGTAAGACAAAAAGTAGAACAATTCAAGCGAAAACTTCACTTATGAGACCACAGTTACATAAGCCTTAAACTTAGGCACTAGTACTCTGCGTTGTGTTTTTGACGCCTGTGTGGATTTGATACAGCATCTCCCTTCTTTTCTATAAAGAGAAGGTCAATATGCCAGAAACGAAGCAGTAACGACATTTATGGACCACTTCTGTCTTCGTCATTCGCGTCGCACTTCATTTTAATCCGAAACATTTTCGAAAGGACTTGATTGAAACCAACAAGATTGCATATTTTTTCACAGATTAAACACATTATAGTTATTCCCAGATAGACTAGTTAGAATAAAATAGTTGCTCCTATTTATATGTTTACCATGTAATTGTTCAGAAACGCTTATATGTGTAGTTTTTTTAGAGGACTTACAAATTAAATATTTTGTAAATATAGCTTTAAATAACCTAACAAGAGAATGATCAACTTAAAATACATTTATGTCATAAGTTTATTTAAAACTAATTATTATAATAATAAAACATACATAGAACAAGGTCACATGAAAACAAGTAAATTTGAAATTGCAATACACAACGTAACTAATAAATTAAAATCTTTAGCTTATACGTTGAATGTTAGCTTTCATTCTGCTCCATCATCTGTCTTTCTCTGATCGCAGTAAATCAAGAATATCAAATATATATATGCTTAAACTTAAAAAAAAAACTTAAAGTAAAGCTAGCTTTAACCATTGTTGAAATTCAGGATAACAGGCTTAATTGCATGTAAATATAGCTGCTTATTTTTTCGTTATTTGTTTGGCTTCGATGTAGCATTTAACTTCATGTCATACCTATAACATACTATAGCAATGTACGTGTTTAATGTTTGTAATGACTCTTATTGTAAATAACAGCACGAATACACGCGTGAAGAGATCTCGTTCAGACGAGAAAAGGAATTTGTCGCGATAGTTTAAAGTAAACAAGGGAGAAGGAGTTTATATGCGCAGTTTCAAAAAAAAAATATCAGTTCTTGTACATTATTTTTTTAACGTTAAATCGATAATTTCTCCAGATTAGTCTTGCCACTGGACGTAAATCAACAAACAATCATTCAAACTTCTTAAAATAAAGCTTTTATTTATATTTTAAATTTTAGATGGTAAAACCTATGCAACAGCGGTATCAATTTTCTATCTTAATTTTGTTTAATCACCCTGTCTTGTTACATTATTTAAAATCGGCGTCTCCCTTATGCTTTTTTTTTTAGATTTTAAGTTTTTTAAATACAATGTAACAGTAACACACATAATGGCGAACAAAACACTATTTACTTATACATGTTGTGTACAGATATATTATCACATAATGCATATTTTTTAATGCTAATTTTTTCAATTTCTTTATTTCAGACAAAAGTGTGCTACAGATATAGAGAACAATGAACGAGATAGAGACAAACGAATGACATCTAAAAATCAAAAGAAGAAAACATTTCATTATTTATCAGTATTATAAATACTTTAAGCTATTGCTCATTTTATGCGATATATATATATTGTTTTTACATCTTTGCTTTTGCACATGAATTCATATACACCTTTCAGTATTACATTGTATTCATACGCTCAAGTGCAATAAGATGCACTCTTACATGTGTCTAGTATTAAAACTGAATTATAAAATTTAATTTTCGTCATGTATTTATTTAGTAATGCAGGTTATATCTTTTTAATATGAATTGCTGCAAACCAAATTACGTAATTTGTTTAACAAAAAATATGGGTTCAGGATGGTTGATGTTGAACTTGATTTACCAATATATTCTCACGTTCGATTAAAACGTGCTCCAATGTTTTTTTTTAAAATGGAATACACAACTACGATTGTCACGTGTAAAATGAGATGTTTTATATACGTCTATGTGACAACAGCTTAACGACACAAATAAACCAGAAAACATATAGAGCTCAAAATGCTGTGTTCAACAACAGACAGATGTCTATACAATGCGTCAAGCTCTAAATTGTCCTGGGTCAATTAAATTCTTCATAATTCAGTTCAGTTTTGTCGTATTTCTGGTTTTTATGCTTAAACTGTAAATACATTTGGTTTTGTCCAGAAAGCATCGTTGTTCAGACACAGCAATGTTGATTTAACTAGTTTATATGAAAAAGCCATATTTATTCAGAAACCTATTCGTCAAAGCACCTTCATTATATTTCAAGCTCTGCATCGCCTTGATTATATTTGGACAGTTGTAAAAAAATAAGGAGATTTGGTATCATTAGTAATAAGACATTTTTTCACCTAACACCAAAAGACAAATTAAGGATTACACGTCACCGTATGGCCTCATGTAATGACCAAAACATGTACCGTATAGTAAGCAGCGGGATACCAAAATGTAAAACGATTTCAAAGTGAAAACCAACGACCTAATTTCTATTTATATGAAAGAAAAACCAAACCATGAAAAACCGCAATCAAAGAAAACCACTGCTGTTATATATGTTACTCCCAACATCAAAACACGTTGATATAGCATCAAAACAAACTTCTACGCTCTACGCAGACAAAAATAATTGCAGAGACAGCGTAAAAAAAAACACATGCAAAGACTTCCTTTTGAATATCCCTTCCCATACATGTGTGTATGCCTGTGCTCACTCCGTCGAATGAGGGGAGTCAAAAGTTGCTAAGTGATTACGAAAACGGCATATGTCCTGGTAATATGCGTAATTTTCATTTGATGACTCCGTGAACTTTGAAGTTAAAGTAGTTCTGAATATGGATGAAATAGTTGAGACTGGACGTTAACGCCTTTTTAAAGACGTTAACAATTCATTGCACATAAATCAAATTCAATGTGGGTTATAAGTCAATGGGACACACAAAAGGTGGATCTAATATACACTGCATGATGTTATGAATATTGCAAAATGACAGCGTTCAATAATTCAGAGGGGGAGGAGGGGTGGCCTTATTTCATGATACATCAAGATAAATGCGTGATATCAAATTATATTTAATGGCAACATGATGTAAGTGTATTTACAATATGTCAAGATTTAAATCCCTATGAGTCTAGAAAATTACAAATAAATTAAATAGAGAATTCAAAAGATCAGCAATCAATATATAATTCATTAAATTATACAAAACACTTTGATATTACAAGAGAACTGCCGATGTCTACCTTCTATCTCTACCCATGTAATAAATATCCGCCAGTTCACCCTGACAATTAACAGCATGTAAAATGTCTCAAGAAAGTATTTCTTTGTACCAAAGGTTAAACCATGGGTACTATTTTGTTTCTGGGTCTGGTATGTACCAATCTGAATCCATTGAAGCTAAAAAAAATCAAATTAGTTAATTATTGCAGAAATATTTCAGAACTACTACGGTGTGGCTCAAAACAAGGCTCAATCATAAATTACTTGCAAAACTATGTTTAAATGCATTGATGGTTGTATTTATCATTTTGCATTGTTTGTTTACATTGACAATTGAAAATAGCGAAATCAATACGATTTTAGGGACGACTTTTGGGGAATGTTTAAAGTAACGACACATTTCTGTCTAATCATATCCATTTAATATTGATTAGACAGATATTGGGCGACCAATATTAGTCATATTCCCAAAAGACAACTCTATTTCTATATCCTATTATATAAGTCAGTTGTTTTTAAATATTGGAGAATATCACAATTTATTAATTTGACCCCCCATTTTATTTATGACTATTATTATTCCGCAATAAAGAGGGGTTCAAATGGAAAATTTTCCTTGAAACTGAATTTATGTCGTTATGATATAACAAACGTGAAGAAATTTTTGCCTACAAGACATCTTGACGCATGCTATAAAAAGCTGGTGCCATGTAAATTATATTTTAATTAAACTTTTAATTGACATAGATAACAAATAACCCTGTGGGTTTATTTTTTAAGTTTCAATCGTTCATGGGATGGACAAAATTTGCAATATTTCCACAGAACCTACTTCTATATAAAAATAGGGAGACGTGGTATGATTGCCAATGAGACAACTCCTCACCAGAGACCAAATGACGCAGAAGTAAGCAACTATGACTACTTAGATCTAACAAAGTAAAATATGTGTATTTAGCTGTCACCTTTTTTTATGTGGTTGAACAAGTTTACACAGACTTTCAAAAGTGAAAAGGACAAAAAAAAGCTACTGTCAATCATCATTCTGGTGTGCAAAAGGTTATTCAAAAACTTTTGTTGAATACAAAGATGTCGGGTTAAATTCCTCTGTATAAAAAATAAGAAGATGTGGTAGGATTGCCAATGAGACAACTATCCATCAATACCAAAATAACGGAAATTTAAGCGATGTATATGTCATCGTACGGCCTTCAACAATGAGAAAAACCTCATACCATATAGTAAGCTATAATAGGTTCCCATTGGACAAAATGTAAAACAATTCAAACGAGATACACAACGGCCCCATTTATGTGCAAATCAATAATCGAAAAACAAATATAATAGACAGAGAAAAACGAGAACCACTGAATTTCAGGCTCCTGACTGCATTGGCTTTCTCACAGGCTCATACACTAAAAGTCTTCAAATCTTACTTAAAATTGAGTATGAAAGAGGATGCCTATATCATATATTATTGAACAATTTCAACCATTTTACATATCTGCATATTTTAAATGTCATTCAGAGTTGCAGTTGAAGGCATTTTGTTAAAATGCAAATTTTACATGGTATTGTTAAGTTTTACACCGATGGACTTCGCTTTCCAAAATTAATAATGTTGTGTCTGGACGACACTATTTATTATACTTTCAAAAGAAATTTTGCTTTAAGTTAAGAATGGGCTTATACGTTTTGGATCAATACTCAAAGTTTGTCAAAATATGCTAAAATTGCAGCTTTTGGCTATCTTCCGGCGTGTATAGTTTAAGTAACTATTTTAAAATAAGCATAATTTTGTCAAAAGCTAGAAGAATACTCATGGCGCTCTGATTTGTTTTTTTTTTAAATGGCCCCAGTATGAAACAAATTCAGGTATAACTGGCCTATTTCTCTTTGTAAACGGAAATAGATCATGGAGAAAAACAATGCAAAGCACATTTGTTATCCTGTCCATGTTTAACATACTTGCGTTTCCATGTTTTGTTTTGTGGATATGTTTGTCCGCAGATCATTGTTTTGTGTTTTTTTTTTCTTGAAATTAACTGACCTTTCGAACACTAATTCAGAAGTTAACAAATAAACTCATCATAGATAACCACATTTAAAATTTTGTACGCCAGACCGCGCGTTTCGTCTACAAAAGCCCACCAGTGACGTTCGAATAAAAAAGTTTAAAAGACCAAATTAAGTACGAAGTTGAAGAGCATTGAGGACCGAACTTCCGAAAAGTTTTGCCAAATACAGCTACGATCATCTATCCTTGAGGTAGAACATCATTAGTATTTTGAAATTTTTTTATAATCAAGTTTTATAATCAGTAATTTATCATTATGACCATATCAATGATAATTCATGTCAATACAGAAGTGATGACCACTGGGCTAGTGGCCATCGAGGAAGAAACCTCCACCAGCAGTGACATCGACACAGTGGTTGTAAGTGAACCCATCATATATACCAGGATTTAAATGTGCGTTTCGTCTACAAAAGACTCATCAGTGACGCAGTAAATTAAAATAAATAATGCTTTGGGTTTACATTATAGCTCACGAACTCTTCAATTTTACACACACAAACAATACAGTTGCTAATCGATAAAATTGAGTTCATTTGGCTATTCTTAAAATATACTTGTTTTTTCGTTTATCAATGTAATTTTACCCCCGGAATTCTGTTCTTTCTTCTGTTATCCGATTTTGTATTTCATGTATTGTTCGGCGTCTCTTACCCGATTTGACAGTTTCATGTTTCACTATTAGATTGAACTTACATTTTTCTGAGCTTTGCCTTTTGACCTGAAACAAAAACATGCCAACGCATAGGAGAAAGAAAAATATGTGTAAAGTAAACTTGTAATATATTAAACGAGATACTTCTAACCCAAAATGCATGCATGGTATAATGGCATACGATTTGACCAAATACTTTTTACGCAGAAGCATGATTTGTAATAGATTGATACCACTGCAGGCTACAAAACCCGAAAGAATTGTGCAGTTTCTACATCAGGTATCGTGCATATATTCCCCTCTCTAGTTATTTGGCACATGTTTGACACATGATTAACATTTTCAAGGTGACAAGGTCGAATTAGCAGCCTAAAGCAACAGTATTGCAATGAGTGTTCCAGCCGCATGCGTTTAATTCCTGATCAGTGAAATTTGCTTATGGAACGACTATTTGCCAGCTTAATACATTTCGAACACTGTAATTGGTTAATTGAAAGACGTTAATATTGACATTGAGCATTAGCGTAGAAATTAAAGCGTTTACCTTGTGTAATATATATGTAGGTTATCCAATGAGGGATTGGATATTATATAATAACATATCATAAAGGTTGCATACGAATCTGTAATTTTAATTGGCCAATAATATCTTTTTTCGTATGAAATGTAAAAAATTTGACTGCACGTGCTCGCCTTAACAACTTAAAACATTGCATAGAATAAACAAACGAATGTCTCTGTTCAATTCCGGTAATTTCATGGTTGTAGCATACACATGTAATTATAAGAATTGCAATGCTTCTTTTTTTAAAATTTTGTTGGGTTGTAAAAGCATTGAACGTGCGCACATTTTAGTGTATGTGCTTCTGTTAACCTTTTTACACACGGACATAATTACAAAAAAGCATTACATTGTTATAATGTTTTAAACGTATATAAGATTGCATTAGTTAACATATGGTAAATGGATTCAAAATTATATTATACGGTATGTAAAGCATAACATTATTTACAAATAGGATAAAAAGTTCTACAAATATAATTACTGTCAATGTTTGTTTGTTCGTTGACCTTCAAAGCTTCCATATTGAAGGACAAACGACAGGACAACACTGATGTTAAATCATCCATCCTTTTGGTTTTTGGTCTGTTACTACCACAAGAAATACAAATAACGTCATCTTCTTTAACATCTCCAATATTTTGTCTAGCTGTGGCGAGATGCACCTTTATAGTTCCTCCGGGTTTACATTCTTTGTCTGCGATTGTTACATTAAATATTCTGTAACTTTCTTTGCATAGTTGAAATAATAATTCCATATTTTTCGTATGAAATATTTCAACAATGTTACCTGATAATGAAATCTGAAATTTAACAAATTTTAAGTATACATAATATTTTTTCAGCTTCTAGTAAAACCCTATCAACTGATTTTAAAGTCTTTCAATTTTCTATGCTATAAGATACTAAAGATTCCCCGAATATACAGAACCCATCATGAATAGGATTATGTCTGAAAACTCATCAACTTTATTAAAGGCTGGTGATGCATGCATAGCAAGAGACGATTATCATGTCGACACACCAATCTCGCTCCTTTTGGAGTTCATGCGATTCCCTCGTTTTTAAATTTTTTTTTACCTCGATGTATAGCTTACCTGATTTATGGAAATTGAACATCGGTAAACTAACGTTGCCTTGCATTAAAATTACAAGTAGATATACACCTAGAAGAAAACTTTACGTTGCTGACTTTGCTGAAAGAGAGGCGAAAGATACCAAAGGTACATTAAAACTCATAAGCCGAAATAAAACTGACAACGCCATGGCAAAAAAAAAGAAAAGAAAAAGACCAAAAGACAAACAACAGTATACAAAACACGACATAGAAAACTAGAGATTGAGCAACACAAACCCCACAAAAAACCGGGGGTGATCAATAAACTGCTTTCAGAAATTCAGTATTCCATATAGGAATTTAAGGATTTATCGTCCGCATGCACATCTTGCCTATGTTGCTTCTAACGATATTAGTTCTTATATTATGTGCATAATATTTAATTTTTTTGTACCAACTATACCTGAACACGTTCATTACAAAACAAGTGTCACAGACAAAAACATGAATATCATGTGTTTTTTAGAACTATACTATGCTATGTTGTCATTGTTTTAACTATAAGATATTATTTTCAATTTACCTGAAATTTAGTGTTCACCAAACAGAACAGTTGATCTGAAACCCCTATTAGATTATACCCTTTTTCTTCCCACAACTTTTGTGTGTCATTCGATTTTTCATGCAAAACACAATGCACAACAATGTACAGCTCTCCACCAGTTTCTGGTACCTCCTTTGTTAAAATCATTATCACAACTTTTCTTTTATATTCCATTAGAGTACATAGTGTTTCATGAATATCTGAGAAGCTAGATTCTGAGGACACTGAGGTTCGAGACACAACTACAAATCTAAAATATGTGATTAGTGAATGCATTTAAGTTCAGAAGATTACAAGTTTCTAAGGGAATGTGGAATCGCTACATAGTAGTATGGTAGTTTCAAGCTAACTGCAGCTTATATAACTGTATGTTGTAGTATTCGGATTATTTTAATGAAACCCAACAACCTTCAGAAAACCACGATTTGGTTGAATAAGAGCACGATGCAATACACCAGAAGTCGCATCCAAAGGAGGAATTGGGTTTATTACTATAACAGCTGATATCTACAATACTTGTAGGGACATTCTGTTGTTAAAATTTCTCAACCCTGTTCAAACTTGAAATTTCTCACCTCCAACTAGACATTTCTGAGTATTAAGTTTGCATTTTCCACTTTCAAGTTGGAACTGAGAAATTTCAATATGGAAAGAAGTAATTTCAATTTAGATGTGAAAAATGTCATTATGATTCAGCATTCAACCTGCATACTACCAAAAATAGTCTAGCGTTAGAAAAAAGAATTGCGAACAAATTGATTTACATATTTAAAAACTATCAAAAAATAAATGAAGATGAAAAGTAATCGTGCATCGTTATACAGATAAACAGATGAAGCTCTCAAAGGTTTGAATACCATACGTAAATACGTTTGGAAACAATCTGCACGAATCAAGAGATAGGGATTTTTTGTATAAGGAATAATTTGTAGATCGGAGTTTAGAAGATTACAAGTATCTAAGGGAATGTAAACATATTAGTATAATAGTTTCAAGCTATCTACAGCTTATATAACTTTATGTTGTAGTATTCGGATTATTTTAAAGAAACCCAACAACTTTCAGAAAGCCACGATTAGGTTGAATAAGATTTCCTTGATTCTCTATGAAATCAATACATATAAGGCGTGATGCTGCTGAAATAGTCAGTTAGTCCGGGCAATAAATCAGTCATCTCGTATATGGAACTGTATAGCTAAGTGCTTATTGCCAAGCAAACAGATAGCACCAAGTTATATGGTTGACGCATGCATTACTGACGATGTTTACACTGTCAATACATCGGTCTCACTTGTTTAGCTATAGAACCAGGTTTACCCACCAGAATTTGACAATTGTTTTCCATTCGATACGTTGGTTGATATAGTCGAGCGTTTGGTTTTGTCAGGTTTTATGGACTTCCCCCTTTTTGAATTTACCTTGAAGTTCGGTATGTTTGTTGATAATTTTTTCCGTCATGCGAATCTCTCGTATTTTTCCTCTTTCTTTGTATATTTAAAATAATTTAAAAATTTTAAACATCGGTAAAAGTCTATTGCCTCAAATATACTCCATTTGTCCATAGGGTGTCTATATGCCATTTTGTTTTTCTTTGTTGAAATAAGTATTTGTTTTTATAGCGATTAAGATTATAACACAATGTTGACTGTTGTACACCAGTTTTTGATATTTTTACCTATTGCGTCCGTTTGTTTTGCTCACATGTTGTTGTCAATACAATGGAATTCTATGCGACTGTCAAGTGAAAGGGTTCAGCTAGCTATAAAAACAGGTTTAATCCACCATTTTCAATATAAGGAAATGCCTGTACCAAGTCAGGAATAAGACCGATGTTTTCCATTCGTTTGATGCGTTTGAGCTTTTGATTTTGCCATTTGATAAAGAACTTTCTGTTTTGAATTTTCCTTGGAGTTCGTTATTTTTGTTATTATACTCTATACATAGTAACCCACATAAAGTACAGACATATGGGACCATATGAAAGCAACTTTGGAACGCTTTGATTAGGTTGATTAAGCATGTGAATTCATTCATTACATCCGTAAAAGGTTAATAAAAAGAGAAAAACATATTATGAAAGACATCAGTGTTCAATCACTTACAATGAGAACATATCAGTATTGAAAGATACTGATCCTGTACTGGTTATATCAGTAGGCTCAGTTAACTGCCAGTCACCCACGCAGTCTGGACGAACCTTGTTCGATGCGAGTACAACTAACTCATCACAGTCAGTTTTGGAACGGAGAGGTAGGGTTATTGTTACATCTTGTTGTGGCTGGATATTTTTAAATGTATTGATAACTAAAATTTCACTAAATATCCTTCCTGCTATAACTTCATCGCTTAATTCTGTTGTATCAATTACCTGAAAAACAACCAAACATAAAATACATTAAACAATTAATAGTCCGGTCATTCGATAAAAATATGTAGTTTCTAAAACAGAGGCAGACATGGGCTATCACATTTAGTGATTTAAAAAATATATGAAAGTTACACAAAGTACGAATGATGACAAAACAGTCGATACCAAAAAATATGATGTATAAGTATTTTGAAAAATTAAACTTTTAACTTAAGGCAACTCAACTCTCTATCTTTGATTTTTTTTTATCACCAAACAATGGAAAACAAAAAGGTAAGTACGCATTCTAAAATCACTTCATGAAAAGCACTAAAACAAGAAACTACCAAAAATTGATTGTTGGTTGCTTAACTTCCAGTGGCAAATAGTTCATTCATATTCAGGACGATATGTCGAGGAAAGACAGACAACTACACGGCAAAGAAAATAAATAAGTACGAGTAAAACTACTTTGTTGTACCATTAATCTATCATTTTAAATTAAAATTTCACAATCCAATAAAGGCCAGACCAATCCGGAACAGATTCCACACAGTCAATAAAGGTAATGACACTTCCGAGCAGACTCCACACAGTCACTAAAACTCACGCCACTTCCGAGCAGACTCATCACAGTCAATAAAGGCCATACCACTTCCGAGAAGACACTTCTCTTTGTTTTTATAAAAACGTAGAACCCTAAAACGGAAAATCAATAAGACACCTGTTAAAAAATCACAAACAAGCCGACCAAAACAAGACCGCCTTAAATATATCAGTCTTGACAATTTAACCACACTTCCCAATAGAAACCAACCTTTGTGATAAAATTACGCAGAAATCTTGACCAACTTGCATAATCTTTCTAGTGTTAAGATGCCACGGTTGCTAAAAATCTATGCAAACAGGTACACAAAGAACTCACCCACTGGAAGCACTGTAACCAATGGGAAAAATCACAAAAAGAAAAACAAGAAAGAAACCCCCATATTATTTACACCCCTGCCGTTTTAAATATCTTTATACTATGCGTTAGATCATATCTTCAAAACCGTCAACGGATTTCTTATGAAAAAGATGCTGACTTTTGTAATATCGATGACCAAACAAAGACAGCTTATTATAACGTAAACGTACTTTAAATGAGACGCTTGTGTCATTTCTTAGTGCATTTGTTGGTATATATACTTTTGCACCAGGCATAACGTTTGGATGAAATATTGTATCTGAATTCGAAATTTTTATTTTTTCAATCTTCTCTTCCGATATTATTACAAACTTGTTGTATACGCCATCTTGAATTCTGAGATGGAGCGACACAGTTGTCTGAAAAGAGAAAGAAAAAACACAATATATTGTACCATACCGCTGTTAAGTGTATATTAGTATTTGAATGAATAAAGCTTTGTTTAGTGTATCCGTTCTTTCATCGGGTTGATACACATGTCTTTTCTAAAACTGCATGTCACTTTCTGGATATCGTTTGGTTGCAGTCTTACTGACATATACCCTACATTTCCCTTTTGTCAAAGCAAAACTCGATACAAAGTTAATTTACATGAATTCATAGCGCAGACGAAAGTTTTATAGTCAATTAAGTAGTAAACCGAAGTCTATTAACAGTAGGACAACCGCAAGTGTATGAGTAAGGATTTCGGTGCTCAGTGAAACGGTTCATTAGACGACGTTGTCAACACGTAATAGCGGCCACAGCTTGACATTTATTTTAGCATTCGATGACTATATCAATTAAGTAGTAAGCCGATGTATCTTAACAGTAGGACAACCACAAGGGTCCTTGTAAAGATTTCGGTGCTCAGTGATACGGTTCATTAGACGAGGTTGTCAATACGTAATGGCGGCCACAGCTTGACATTTATTTTAGCATTCAATTTCTATATAAGTTAAATTCATGACATTATTAGATAATTAGTTAATTTAAAAGCATTAAACATTCTCACATACTGTGAATCTCAAAGATACTGATAAAAGTGATAGGGATTGTTTCTAGAGAGTGTTAATTTCTTTGATTTTTTTGCAGAGAAACAGTGCTCTGGTACTGACATGGTTTTAAGGATATATCTTAATTGTAGAATTATAAACTTTGAATACTTTTTTTTAAAAACAAAATCTCTACTCCCTCGGGGCAAAGTTAATTTCAGAAGTGCGCGTATCATGTGTACTTTATTTGGCACCAACTTTATTACCTGAAAGTGTTAAAAAAAACGTTTCTTTCACACACTGTGGAAACCGATGATTTGGTTACTCGTAACCTTTTGATATATCTTGAACTTTAGTGAGTCCAATTAAAAGTAGAAAGTGTCTTCTGGCTTTTACCTCTACTTTTTCTAGCTAAAGAAAGACGAACTTTGAATTTTTGAATTAAATTCATTTTACTGCATTCAGAAAAAAAAAACAGTTTCGGATATAAAAAAAAAAAAAAAAAAAAAAAAAAAAAAACGTAGGCAACAGAGATACAGTCGACAGAAAAGTATCTTTACTATTCTCTGGAAAATAAATGGTACTATAATTTTGTATTTGAGTTAACAATAACAATTACCTGCAAATCTTCTGTATTCACGAACGTGTTATCGGACTCATCTAAACGTCCAAAACAGTTTTCTAAAGATACAAATTTCAGTTGTCTATTGGGTCTCACTAGACTATTTACTTGAACCTTTAGTTGAATTTCTTTTTCTTTACAGTCCCATGCTCTTAATTCATATATGTCACTAAAATACTGTTCAGAAGTTTGTAGATGGTATTGGGTATTGACAAATTCAGGTTGCATTTTGTAAAGCTGGAGAACAAACGGTCTACTGATCTTTGTGGTGTCAACTTCAACTTGCACAGAATTACAGTTACATGCCTGGTGTGGTTGAATAGAAACAAGTTCCTTGCTGACAAACCTGAAATATGAAAATGCACAAAAGAGGTTTCCCAGGAAGCGTATAAAAACACAATCCCCAAAACAGATAGATAACCATTAAGCAAATAACCCGTTATAAATATATTAGAGATTAAAAATATTCTAGAAATGTTGTATGAAAAGAAAAGAAAAAAAAAAACAATTCACTAAAGATACCAGGCTTATTATTTTATACGCCAGACACGCGTTACGTTTACTAAAGACTTAGCAGTAACTTTCGAATCTAAACAGTTGGAATGCTAAATCAAATGAGAAGTCCGAATATCCATGCCAAATACGACGAAGGCAATCTCTGCCTGGGGATTATATAACCTTAGTGTTTAGAATAATTCAACATTTTATTACATTACAAATCAAGTTTACGTACCAAGACATCTTGTCACTGATATTGAAAATCACACAAAAATTATGATAAGGAAAAAAAGGATTTAAAATTAATTTTGATTGATTGATTAAGCTATGTTTGCTTTACTACACATCATCATAACTCAATTTTGAGGGTGATTTAAGTATAAAGACAATCCTATAAATACCCATTTCTGAATCCAGGAATTAGCTGACACTGTCTGTCAAAGGCCTCTAATATCTGATGCTCTTTGGAGCCATTACTGTTGGTAGCCCAATCCTAAAAGTCCAATTTAACTCTTAAATGACACAATTGCATAGTCAGCAGCTATATAATATATGTATCTATCGTTTTCAAAATACTGCATTTTTTTGTTATTTTAAAAACGTAAAAAATAAAAAAATACAAATATTGAAGAAATTATATTACTCTATGGTACTTGTAACACACTAAATTAAGGCCAGCGTAGTTTACCGATGTTCAAATCTCTCAAATGACCAATAAGACACAAATCAAGGCAACAATTAAAACCCGAAGTAATTGCATGAACGCCAAAAGAAGCGAGACGTGGTGCGTCTCCTGCTATGCATTCATCACTCGCCATGCGAATTACCACTGAGAAAATGTCACATTCGGAAACAAGACACAATTGGTAATACTACAGATCAGGCGATCACACTGGTATCAAAATATCTTAGACCGCGAAACATGTCGCTTAAAATAGTTGGAAAAAGAAAGCCAATACTTGAAATTAACACTTAAGGATAAAAACATCTATAGAATCGTAAAATAATGAAGAAAAAAATTACATGAGATTACATTGTACCAAGACTGTTGGCTCCCAAAAAATTATCACTTAATAAAGTTTAGAAGAAAAGTTACCCATTCTACTACACAAGGATCGATACCAAATTTGAGTAATATGTCCACTATGCGAGGACTTTTATCCATCACAGCTATGTATAATGCTTTATGGCCTTCCTTTAAATAAACATAGAAATTATTAAATACTGGGAATTAAAATATCTATATAATTGTTAACAGTGCAGATGCAAATGAAACGCTTAATACTTTAAATTATTTTGTAACTTCACCTATTAAAACAGAGAAATAATAATATTTCAAACTGAACTTTCTCATATGTATATTGTCATAATGAGAGCATTTTCTTGTTATCTGAAAACTATATCTCGATTATAGATTTTGTATGCTTTATTAATACTTTTGATAAAATAATAAACATTTAACAGATCCAAGATATAAAATTAATATATGTATATATATGTCCATATTGTCAAAGTAAAAATACATACATGCTTCTTATTGTCAAAGTAAAAGTAGCAGAAACACAATTGTTAGAAGCTCAAGACGAAATATCAATTTCGATCTTTTTTACAAATCAAGATCTGCCTGAATCGCACAAACTCAGATCAGACGAGTGGACACGATCGGCATATTTAATACTGTAACACTACCTATGAAGAACACGCATTGAAATACCAAGCAAATCTCAGGATATCATGATTCTTTCATATATATATTTCATTTATAGATATAACGACAAACTTCAGATGCCAAAATGCCATCCCTAATTTTCCTTTTTTTTTTACAGATAACTAAGAATTGTATGTTATAGTACAACAAACCATCAAAAACAACTGAAACTATTCATAGAAGTAATGTAATATTCTGAATACATACTATTTTCATTTGTTTCCCACATATCAAACCTATTTCAAATTGGTATAAAACAGATTATATCCTACCTTATTTTCGGCCTCTAAATTTGCACCAAGTGCTATCAACAATGCAGCAACATGATCGTGTCCACGTGACACGGCTAAATGAAGTGGCGTGTCCCCATACTAAATTACAAATAATTCGCAATAATGTAAAGGAATTGATATGATAATTCAAAAAATATTTTTCAAATTATTTAACAGTTAATGAAGTTTCTTTTTAATCCGTAAAATGCTGAAGTGACGAATCTGACACCATTCTGCTATCTATATTTAAGTATTCAAAATTGTTAGACCAAATATAACATTATTAGTTGTTATTTGTTGTTATTGGCTTTGAACTAGTTGTGTTTTTTGTGATTTTTTTTTTTTTTTTTGCTGTGTGTCGAGCTGATTAGTTAAGCCTTTTCAACTGAAGTTTTTATTTGTTCTTATGTTGTGCTGTAAAACCACTGTTAAGGGGAGGATTGGACGCCCGCAAACATGTTTAATCCCGCCAAATTCGGTATGTGCTTGTCCCAAGCCAGGAGCCTGTTATTTAATGGTTGTCGTTTGTTGCTGGTTATCATATTTGTTTTTGATCAATTCTTTTGTACATAAATCAGGCCGTTCGTTTTCTCGTTTGAATTGTTTTACAGTAATGTTGTCATTTCTGGGCCCTTTATAGCTTGATATGCGGCATGGGCTTTGCTCAGTGTTGAAGGCCGTAATGTGACCTATAGTTGCTGAATTCTACATTATTTGGTCTCTGGTGGAGAGTTGTCTCGTTGGCAATCATACCACATCTTCTTATTTTTATACTTATGCCTTTCAGTTCACAGGGGCACCATCGTTTGTAGCTAATAATTTAAATATTACTTTTCTGTTGTAAATTTCATGAGAAGTTACATAAATAAGATTGCAAGTCTAAGTAACGATTTTGTCTGTTCTGTTGGCTTTGATGCTCCGCATTGTTTTAAGTAATTGGCTTCTAACATTTTTGCCTCGAGCGTACGTATGAAAATAAATTCATCATATATACCGAAAATTATTCCAGATACTAAATCTGTTATATCAATGTAGATGGTTCGATGCTGCTGGCAAAGGAATAAAAGAAAATATGAAAAAAATGCGCACATTTTCTAGCTCTTTGTTACTTGCATGATTTAATTTATACATTTTAGTTGTGAATTTACAATTTTTACCCTAAGTATGATATGGCTGTTTAACTAAGGCTGGATCTCATTCAGATTAAGTTGACCTATGTAGATGCATTATGCCCATTAAGACTGTCATACAAATGGTAGGTTTTGCGCACTGTGACACCTTGTTTAACCCATAGTTTTCAGTTAAAGGTGTCTTGACAGAGGCAAAACTATGACAGTATATCGTCAAAACCACCCAGTATATATCATTATTGATTTGTTTTAGAATTAGTGATTACTTATCCTTAGGTTACAACAGTGTATATCAGTTATTTGCATTAGCTAAATAAACCGCTATGACATTTGCAATATGTAGCAACGAATAATAAACGACGAAAAGACTAACAAAAATCCACAATACATGACACAGACAACTTTAAATTGACTGACACCAACTCACTATAAACCGTGGAGGAATTCAGGGGCTCCAGGTCAGCTGATGCTGATCCGCTAGCGAAAGTCACCGTTTTATCGGTATTGAAATCTTTCCTTTGGCCAGTAGTAACATATATGTTTACCTCATCTGTACAATTAATGTCAGCACCACGGCCCACTAGATTTGTTATTGTGTCTGTGTTTCCGATTGATGCTGCAATGTGTAGGGGTTGCCTTCCAATATTCTGAAATAAAACCAGATACATATCAGGGAGAACATCACATTTTTTTTCTGGAATAATCTTCTTAGGCTCACTAATGAGTAACAATTTGGAAAGCCAAAAGCAAATAACGTTTGAGAACATATAAACACTACAATGATTTTAATATAACTGCAAAAGTCGTTTAAGGTCAACTTAGCATGCAGGGGTGCAAACTTAATGTTATCACCACTACATATTTTATAAACTGAAAATCTAAAAACAAAATGTATTCTTTAAAGCATACGAGAACTGGGTACAATTGGTAAGAACGAGCAATTATCATTTGTGCATATTCATTAGTTAATATGATTAAAACAGGAATGCAACCAAGAGAACACTGAAGATGAATCATTTGTAACAATTGAATACATATACCACAAAACATGACTGAATAATCGCAAGGTTATTATCATGTCTTATAAGCTAAAAATGAAAATACACTTTATACGTACATCCGGTAATATGAAACAATATAAAAAGCATAAACAAAAACTAAAAAGGTCACTGGTTCCTCTTTAATGGACAAACATATGTAGACTCCGAGTAAACCCATCTTTTAAAAAACAGAAAAAGAAAAATAAGAATGATGAAAATACAAAATTATAAAAAGGAAAACGATTGTGTTTACTTACTAGCTGCAGTAGAACGCTTTCCTTCTCCATCATGCAACAATGTCTTTGATTGTCTATATGAAATACAAAAACAGGACAAAAGAAGAACTTTTAAGTCGTCAGCTGAAAAGTTAGATTAAAGTTATTGAGTAACAAACATATGCAATTTAAATTTTAGAAGATACCATGAAATTGCAATTAAACAAACGTCAAAGAAAAAATATGCGAAAAATAGTTTAAACGGTTATGAACTGTATAAAGTAATAATTAACAAAACAAACACAACATAGGAATATATAAGTTGAATGCTGAAAGGAATCTATAAACGCATCGTAGAATCTAAACACAAAAAAGCATAAAAACAACAAGATTCATCTTTGTCTAAAAGTTGCAACTTTTGTTTTCGTAATTTTAAACGATATTTACATTGAAACATTTACATTTAAATTTACAATCAAAATGCTAAATTTACATTTTGACAGTACCTCTTAAAATTGCCTTTTACTGGTTCGTACACCTCGAAATCAGACACGTACGTAGTTGTGTAAACGAGTGAAACTATGATCAATGCTTCTCTGTTCTAAAATATATTGTCCAAGTTTGTTATGGTAAATGAGATATCTGATCTACTTGAAGGTCAAGATTTTGTAATTTTGTTTTTATTTCTGCTAAATTTAATTGTTAGCCAAATGTTTTAGAATGCTTTTAAAACAATAAAAAACGAAAGATAATTGTTATGGATGAGAATGTTGTATTTATTCGCTTTCCCAAATCTGTAAATGCACTTGACAAAACCCAGAGAATTGCAATGTCACAAAGAGTTCAACGCGGAAAAAAACATCACACTTAACGCCAATGCCATTGTCGACCCAGCACAAGAAGGAGCGCAAAACTTTACAAGATGGATAATGGTACAAATGAGTTTATTAATGGTACAAATGTGTTTAAGACCGCTTACGATAGATTATATCAACAAATTACCGGCTAAAGTGCTTTACCTTAGTTTAATTAATCGTAATATTGCAAGGATTAAGTAATGGATTAAAAGACAGAATTTTAAACCAACAGGAAGTATTATTAATCAGTAAATATAATAAGAGTACAGTATCAACTTAAGATATTATCTGTAAACAACGGAAGAATTATAATGATATACCATACCTACCATACAATGTTGTTTCAATTCTGTAATTTTTCCGCTGCCCAGTTTTCCTTTTAAGAGTGTTTGTAATATATTATTATATCATTCTTACATGACTGACTTTCAAAAATAAAAGATTGAAATCAATTGTTTAAAATGTCCATGGTATGTAAACAGCACACACATTTTTAAACAGAAAACGAACCAGTACGCCTTGAACTTATATATATATATATTATGTAAATTAACCAAGCCTAAATTGAAAACAACGCTCAAACCTATGATTGCGTTGGATAAAAACCGCAACTTTTATACATGTGCATGCAAAACAAAGGAGTAGGTTCAGTAAGACCCCTTTTGCGCCCCAAAATATATCAGTTTTACAAAATTGTTATAATGTAAACTTTTAGCTATTTATTGGAAAGTAGAATACTTCTGCTACATAAATATGGGCTGTTTTTGACAATACAATGCACATATATCGGGTACTAGCATCATTAAGTCATGCTAAATTACTGAAATCTTCACAATTTTAGCATTTGAGTTAAATTTTAGACGGTTTTCGTCTTAAATAGAAGTGGCCGCATACGTGTTCATTCTTAATATTTAAATGTAAGATGTATTTGATGATAATACATAACATATATAAAGGTTGAGGGTGAACACGGATGCGGCCACTTTCATTTTTGACAAAAACTATCTGAAAAGTGACATATTATGGCATATTTGAAAGATTTTTCATATTTAAGCTTGAATATGAGCGTCTGAAATGACTAAATCAGTTCAAATCTTTCACACAAACTAATTGAATCGACTGAAATAGACACTTAAGTATTTAAAAAGTGTACAAAATCTTACATCAGATGAACCTGAAATTTGAGGCCAAAATAGGCCCTTACCGGACCTACTCCTTTCTTGGTAGAGGGGTCTAAATACAGCACAAACAACATTTTCCAAAATACCAAATGAGTGAAAAAGTATATTTTAACAATTTATACATAAGAGTATTTACAGTTTTCATGCACAAGGTTATAAAAGATCGTTACTGACAAAAACCAAACAGATATTGTTATATAGTTGAAAAAATTCATCACATAAAAACTAAATGAAAAGAACAAGAATCCATAATGAAAACGGGGTGTCCGCTACTGCTTTTCTAGAGGCACCCGTCGTGAAGCCCATGACAAGTTTAATCCCCATGATAAGCCAGAATAGTTTATGTCACAAATGAATTCAGTAGGACGGGATTTTTGAAACCATATATGAAACATATGGATAGTGATATGTGACACGGATAATCAATTGCAGTCAGCCAAATTATTTTTGTATCCGTAACAAAATTTCGTAGATCGTAGCTTGATCACCTTAATTGCTACTGGCAGCTATACTTTTGCATCTCCACATTCAACATATAGCCATCCAATATTTTCTAATAGAAAGAAAGTTCATGTCAATGGGTTTTTATCTTAAGTAATATATAACACAGGATGACTAGTGGAAAATATACCAGTACTATGTTTCCTCTTTTAAATGAACCTTATCCAATTTACCGAAGCAACCATTGATTGCTAACGGAGTTTATATTTTATATCCTGTTGTTTTCATTTTTAAGTATGATCTATTACAGTTCTCATTCCATACCAATCAATTTATTTCAATAACTGTTGCCTCACACAGTACAGAAACTGATTAAGGGGTTTTCCAAATGTATACTTTTCTAATAACGGGTTAATCATATGGGTCATAAATTTCAAAGTTGAAATATTTCCATTTAGATAGGCGATACACGTAGCAAAGGCACAGTTTAAGCAATCCACTATCGCTTTTTCTTTATTTGCAATTGTGCAAAATTGTTGAGTGGATAATACATAGGACATGGACTTTGGTATGTATCTTACTGACTTTACCGTGAATGAATGTGGTAATTTCTGTTTTAGTCACTGGAAATCTTTTTTCCAACTTTTATAAAAAAAAAACCCATCATAGATACCAGGCTTATAATTTGGAGACACAGACGAGCGTTTCGTCTGCATAAGATTTATCATTGACACACAAATCAAAACAACTGGAAGGTCAGATCAAAAACGAGGTTGAAGATTATTAAAAAAAGAAAGTTCCAGAAAGTTATGCTAATCACGGCTAAGGCAATCTAAGGTGGGGTGGGGGTGGGGTTAGGGGGAAGAAGAATAACCGTAGTATTTCGAGTAATTCAACAGTTTATAATATTTTATTACTACAAAGTAATATCTAATATCGGAGTAACTGCTTTGATGGGCAGTTCTCTGAAAATATCAATGAATTCTATTCCCATTTCAAATATAAATTATCGAATAGTCAATTTAAAAAAAAAAATCTTTTAGAACAATCATTCAAAATAAATAATTCTTATGTTTTTTTTCAAATTCAACAGGGTTTATTGTAGCCCTTTCGATAATGACATATGTTACAGAAGTTGTTTGTTAGAAGAAAAAAAGCTAAGAATATTTTTTTATACACATGAATAATGTCTTTTAGACATTTCTATGATTGTTCTCAATCGAAATAAAATACAGATTATTTGTCCACGATTCTCTAAGGGAAGCGTGGAGACAGGTTATGTATTATTATCAAATTGGATTTTTCTAAAAATGTCTTAAAACAATGATCGTAAGCTGTGCTATTAATTTTTGCTAGGTTTTAAAACCTTGCTTAAAAAATTTCGCCATGTATTAAACGTTGTTATCCTTAATCTTTAATATGATATAATCTTAATACACAAACGAATTTGTTTCATATTTTCCCGGTAATCTAAACTCCGTCAGCATTTCGAAAGTTGCAGAGCGCATGCCAAACAAAAACTGCAGAACAGGTTCTGTATTATTATCAAATTGGATTTTTCTTAAAATGCCTTAAACGATGATCGTAAGCTGTGCTATTAATTTTTGCTAAGTTTTAAAACTTTGCTTAAAACATTTCGCCGTGTATTAAACGGTGTTATCCTTTGATATGATATAATCAATGACTTATATAAATAGTTGTCAGTTATTGTGGATTACGATTAATCCAACTAATTTGTATTTGGCTTATGACTGTCCATTTGGTATACTCCACCTCTCTTTTATCAGCTTATTTCAAAATCTATAAATTTTATCTGTCTCCTAAATGAGGTAAGCATCTGTTATTTTCTCTTATTCCTTCGAGTACAATTTCATAGATTTTTTTCAAAAATTGATAAAAAATCCAAATAGATAATTGTAAACGATTTCTTGTTTTGATGACAAATAAACATTAGAATGCACTTCCGTTAGAATGCACTTCTGTAAATGATTTGATGACATACTCTCGGTGGGAAAGAAATAGATTTACGTCAAGTAAATTAATTAGTTTAAATGTTCGATTGGTATTGATGAAAGTTTGATCATATAATAATATGATAATATAAATGGATAAAAGACGGAAGATTGAAAAAACTAAATAAGAAAGGTAAATCAATATTTTTCAAGGTTTTATTTTTTCAAAAGATATATATATCCAAACAAGTTCAGAATGGCGAATCTAGAATTTCTAAATGAGGCACCTTAGAAGGTGGCTCTAGTCAAAACCAGTTAAATGTACCACAAACTCAAATTATCGACCAAAGAAGGGAAGCGCCTCGAACCATCCCTTGGACCCGTCTTTTTATACAATTGCTTTTTGCCAAATACGGAAGAATTTCTTACGAAATAATTTTTTAGCTTTCAATTTTGGAAAGGAATGTACAAATTCTACAATACTTGAAAATTACGCAAACAGACACTCTTTATTATATCGGGCAAATATCCATTACATATCAGTGTGTAGAAACTGCACCACCTTGATCATTTCAATCTTTTCAAAAGTATCTATTGATATTTCATAAATGTAACATGTGTCGCACAATCAGAGACATTTTTACAAAGTGATCGTGACAGATATCTATTCCAAATCTATTTGTCGGCTTACTGACACTTTCGTTTCAGTAAGCGTATGCATGGATTTGGCAGACCATTAAAAAGACAAATCAATTGAAAAATGATTGTAACATGTGTAAATAATCAATTTTTGTGCAATGTAACATACATTTTCTAACGCTTGATGCATGAATACTTTTGATATGAAACTTTATGACAACAAATAAATAAATAAAATCGAACAATATATCATAGAAAAACATAATCATAAGCAACAGGAACCCATTAAAAATTTGGTGATGACTTCCGGTGCACATACAGGTTGAAAAGTACATGCTACATAAACGTCTTTTGAATTCTTTCACTTTCTTGAACATTTCCTATGTCACAATGCTTATGTTTTTACGTCACAGGAAGAACCGATCATAAATCAGGTCATGAAGACGTATACGAAAAATAAAGTAGAGCCTGTGTCATCTGTGTGACAGAGATAATCCAGTTTTGTCAGCAAAATCGTGTTGACGTTGGCGTTCGTAATAATTTCCTCAGACTCAAATAAAACGTTATCATTAAGAATCCTTAGTTATCACACGGAAATAATTATCGATTGTAAAAAACCTGTTTTATGTGCCTCGTATGTTTAATATTACTTGATCAATTTCTTTTTTCAAGTTATGAAAATTTTTAAATACTGTCCAACAACTTGACAGCGCACACTTGATATTTAAATTTTTAACCGGATTTCCGAAGGAAAAATCGGTTATTGATTTGGGGATGTACGGATGGCGGGCGGGCGGCTGACAAACAGTGTCCGTTCATTAACATGAAAACGCTTCGACGAAATCTTTTCAAATTTAGATATGTTGTTTCCTGTGACTAAATGAAGGTCAAGTAATAATTTTCACGATATTAGCTTTTCTCGTTGTTGAGTTGTAGACCTTTCAGTAGCGAAAAGTGATACTTATTATATGATTTGTTTTTATTTTGAGTTTTTTCCCTTTGAACAGAAATGGTGTAATTAAGTATATGGATAGATAGTCTATCAATGATTGTATCTGTTCAATTGATTTTAGTCAGGAGTTGTCAAAACTTTCTTTATAACTATTATTTTAAGTCATGTGTGTTTTGAAGGTAGATGTCACAGTTGTTATGTGGTATTCTATT